GGACCGAGACCTTTAATGCAGATGGCGGCTGCAGGCGATCCGTGCGCGCGCTCATGACGCACTCAAAGGAATATGACGCTGGGGTGAGGGTCAGGGTGAGGTGCAGGGAGGCGAGACAAATTAGCAGCTTTGGACATGTATAGCAGGTGTTTTTGCATATTCTAATGCTCCACTAAACATAACAATACATTTTTTTCAATAAATAATAACCATAATAATCCAAATCGCGCTCAAACAATGACCTTGACGGTTATGATGGATCGTCAGACAGGCCGTACTGTAATTGCCGCCAGTGCCCGCAGCCTCCTCTTCCTCTCAGACATTAAAAAGCGCTTTATCATCCGGAGCAGCTCGCATTAACCGCGTCATTCCAGCGTGAGCCGCGCGCACAAAGGCCCGCTGTCCGCCGCCGCTTAATGCTGTGATTAAGCATTTAGCCTGAGCCTGTTATTAGCAGCAGGTCCCGTGTGCGTGCGTGTGTGTGTGTGTGTGTGTGTGTGTGTGTGTGTGCGTGTGTGTGTGTGCATGTGTGTGTTTGTGTGTGTGTGCAGGAGCCAAATGCCTTCAGGGAGCCCGTGGGTGGGTGGGTGGGTGTGGGGGGATGGGGGGTGATGGGGGGGACTGCTGCAACAAGAGGACGCAAAGTTAATGACACTGACCCTCACTTCCCCAACAGCTATTCAATTCAACAATAATAACGGGTCACGCAGCTGATTTATGAGGCGAGGGCTAATCATGGTCAATGGGTAAATGTGGAGGTGGGGGCCCGGGGGGGTAGAGTGGGGGGACTTCTGCTTCTGCTGATGATGCTGCTGCTGCAGAAATAAAATATGAGTTGACCCGCAGGTGAAAGGGAGAAAGAGGCCACGGCAAAGCGGAGGGACGCAGAGGTTGACGATCTCCGTTATTACCAATGAGTGAGATTCGAACCATCTCAGTAGTTTGTTCATTACAGTTTGGTGATAGGAGACATGGGGAATAATTTGCGTGTATGCGTTTTTCTTTTCCCCACTGCCTTTTGAGCTGACAAATTATACAGGACGTTGTGTAAATATTTAAATGATTGACACATAGTGAATTCAATTCAATGCAATGTATTCTTAATTGCCCTAAATCACTAATTTGGTTTTGGGTGCATGGTTTTTTCCTAAAATTTGGGAAAATCCTCCATGTACCTCTAAGTACAAACAAAAATGCTATATATGCAACTATAGATTTCTTGCACTAGAATATGCAATATTTTATTTTGCTTCTTTATTTTGGTAAAGTCAGAGATTTTATTTAGTTTTTGTACAGAGTTATTGTTCTGTGATGCAACACTGACATTTCTCCAAGGATCTCTTTATCTTGATACTTTTCGTTCGGTAAAATGTCTGTTTCACCCATCACTTATCCCCGCCCACTTCTCTGTGTGCTGTGAGTCAATGACGCACCGAAACGTAACGTACTGCGGCGCATTTATCACGTCCTCCGAGTTATTTTTCTACAGTTTTATTTAGACATTGCATTTTACGTTTAAAAAATGACATGAGTTTGTTTTTAATATTTACAGTCTGTGTTGTCATGCACCAGTATTTTTCTTTGGGAAGATGGCCTCGTTAAGAACCATACTCTCACTATATCTGTGACTGTTGCTGGTTGTATTGCGTTGCAAACAGTTGAATATTAAAAACTAGATGTACAGTTTATTCAGGGAGGCAAATGAACAATGTGATGTCCAGATTAAAAGGACTAAAGCGTGTCCTCTGCTCTGCGCCTGCGCGTCCCTCTGCAGCCGCTGCTAACATGAATAACAAGCCAACAATGTGTCGTGGAGGCAGATTGAATTACTAAGTTTATTTACAAGAGGAATCTCATGAAGCCATTGACCAGCGTTAAACAGCGCGGGATGAAACGATGACAAGACTCCGATAAGAATTTAATTCCATCTCATTTCAGACGATTTTATGAATCAAATTCTTGAACACTGGCAAGAGATTTAATGATCACATCTTTGGGAAATCTTATTTGAGAGCGGTCGATGGCATTTCTCTGCGTTAATGTCGACTTAGAGGTTGAAGTAATTTAGTAATTGATTCTTCGCTTGGATCGAGCCCGTGCCAAGGCCGCGCTTCAGGGTAATACGTTTCCTAATCTTATCCGCTGGAATAAGATTTTTATGTTAATCCAGAGCTGCTCTTTGGTCACTGGGGGAGACGCAGTCACAGCGCACTGCACATTTGTAAATGAATCCTATTATTCCATAATAGACTAAAGAAAGCTTGTTAAACTGGCAGCAGAAATCTAACGCTTTAACTTTTTGTAAATTGATGATGGACATATGCTCGGATCAAACTGGACCAGAGGAGGAGACACGGGCACTGCGCAGCCGCAGCAGCAGGAGCAAGAGCAGGAGCAGCATCAGGAGGAGGAGGAAGAGGAGAAGGACGAGGATAAGGATTAAGAGTATAGCAGGAGGAGGAAGAGGAGGAGGACAAGGGTGAGGACTAAGAGGAGCAGGAGGAGGAAGAGAAGAACGAGGAAGAAGAGGAGGCAGGGGCCTGCACCTTGGACACTGCTCAGCCACAGCAGGACGAGGAGGAGCAGGAGGAGGCTGAGGACGAGGAGGAGCAGGAGGAGGAGGAGGCGAGAGGAATAGGCATAGTGCACATGACCCCTGCGTGTGTACGTGTGTCTGTGTGTGCACGTGCGTGTGTGAGTGCGTGTGTGTACGGTCAGACTGACAGACACCAGATCATAATCTAATTTCTTTTTCCTGCAGATGTCACGCTCCATCTGCGTCAGAAACAGAGCCGCGTTTTCTTTGACTCTGTGTTGTTTATAACCACACTGTGACGTCACTGAGCAGAGAGCATTTTAGTTTTATCCAAACACTTTTAATAAAGGCGACGAAACAAAGACAGAACATATTTAAGTGTTTATCAGTGACTCCAGGATATGGATTTTATGGAAACAATAATAATAACATAAAAGTTCTCGATTATTTTTCTTAATGCAAGATACACAACACAAAGGGGGATAAACACATGGAAAATAAACTGTGGCATTTCTCACTGAGACTTTTCGGTTAAAATCCATGCATTTACCTTCGTTTATACAGTTCCATAACAAATGCCCGCAGTCAAATTACATCTGTTTTATTGCGGTGTTGACATAATTTCCCGTCACTCTTATTTAGCATCACTCACATTCGGGACGCAAACTGACGCACGCGGCTTGGACTTTAAAGGATTTTTAGATAAAGACTGAAAAAACTGCGGACATACATTATTAACTCGGACCTGTGCTGGGAACAGATTGAGATATCAGACTAAAACGCCACCAGAGCCTTCCCCCTAAACGTCCCACCCCCCCCCCCCCCCCCCCCCCTCCTCCCTCCTGCTCCTCCACGCGCACTTATTAATACCCGTTTTGATAAATAAATATAGGACCTCCGCGGGCAGTGAGTGTGAGAGAGAGAGACGTCCGTGTTGAAGCGTGACAGCGGGCCCCTCCCCATCCATCCTCCCGCTTTATCCGCCCCTGGTCCACAGTGTTTACCCACAATCCTCCCAATCCAACCTCGCAGACAATAGCATTTTGTCCGCGCCGCATTCCGACAGCGCCGAGCAACCACGAATTGCGCAGTTCTTTTGTGCGTCAATTCAGGAGAAGTCGCATTTACTTTGATTTATTTAAGTGAGTGCGTGTGGTGGGAGCTTTATCCTCCGCACATAATTAGGGATTAAGCAGCGCTTTGGTGAAATGAGGGCCATTATGGTACTGTAAATCACAGGTGGAGTCCGCGCACGAGCCGCGGGTGTAAGTGGTGTCAGGACCCGGCTGTAAATATAGGGACGACGGGAAATGAAATGGTACATATATAGACTGGAATGGACTGGAATAGACTCTGTAATGGGTCTGAAGGAGGTGTTTTTGGAGGGAAAACACTGAGAGATAATCATGTGAAGAAAAAAGGAAAATGAAACAATACAGATAAAAACAACAAGCTAATATTCTCATTATGTAGATAGATGGATGGCTAGATAGATGGATGGCTAGATAGATGGATGGCTAGATAGATAGATAGATAGATAGATGGATAGATAGATAGAGATAGACAGATAATAGCCACAGATGGAGATTTGGTCAATTGTGCTGATTTCAAACACATATATTTAAAATAGGCCTCTATCTAATAAAGAACTAGCTAAGCAAATTATTATTGCGTGTTTTATTGTAATAACCCTGAGGCTTAATGATCTTCAAGTTTCGAATTCTTGGACTTTCATATTTTCACTGTTCAAAAACCTTTACGGACTGTGTTTTTTGGTTTTGTTTTATTTAGGCTCTTTTGGACAATTTAAAATCATAATCAATAATAATGTATTTTTTTTTTTTTTTTTTTTTTTGTCATTTTGAGTGATTTTCAACAAACAAAACAATCAGAACACACCATGAGTACAACCATCCAGTCTTTGGTCCATAACGGGTCAATGTCCAGTTCAGCACTTTGAGTCCTTGCCATGCCTAAATCCGGATCACGTAATACAGACCGTAAATATTACAATAAATAAGCAAATACCTGGAAATATATATATATGTCTATCTTGAAGCTCTGCGCCTCTTGAGTCTCTTTACATTGATAAATAATGCAGTAGTAGTACCGTATAGTGTATACAAAAATCAGAATCAGAATCATTTTTATTGCCAACGTAAGTAACGGGAGGTCACAGACTTGGAAATTGCTTTGGCTCAGTGCAACAGTCAAAAAGAGATAATAAAAATAAGAATAAAAAACACTTCTAAAGAATAAATTTAAATTTAAAATAGAGTTACAGTTACTATTTACAATATACAAGTGCACATGGTGCACACAATGTAAGGTGACAGCAGTACAGTGAAGTAAAGTGACGTATGATGGGCAGTAAAGTGACTTTATAAAGGGCGGGGGGACAGGTTAAGAAGTGTTCAAGAGTCCAACAGCAGAGGGGAAGAAACTGTTCTTGTGGCGGGAGGTTCTAGTCCTGATGGACCGCAGCCTCCTGCCTGAGGGGAGTGGTTGGAATAGTCCATGTGCAGGGTGAGAGGGGTCGGCTGTGATACGACCAGCCCGGCCTCGAGCTCGGGCGACGTACAGGTCCTGCAGCGATGGAAGGCTGCGGCCGATCACTTCCTCTGCAGAGCGCACAATGCGCTGTAGTCTCTGTTTGTCCCTGACTGTGGCTCCAGCGAACCACACGGTGATGGAGGAGGTGAGGATGGACTCGATGATGGCCGTGTAGAACTGCACCAACATCTGTGCAGGCAGCTTGGCTTTCCTGAGCTGCCGCAGGAAGTACATCCTCTGCTGGGCCTTCTTGATGAGGGAGCTGATGGTCGGCTCCCACTTGAGGTCCTGGGTGATGGTGGTGCCCAGGAAACGGAAGGACTCCACAGAGGTGATGGGGGAGTCCATCACGGAGGGTGGGGGCGGGGGGACAGTGCTCTTCCTGAAGTCCACAATCATCTCCACTGTCTTCTGGGCGTTCAGCTCCAGGTTGTTACCACTGCACCAGGACACCAGCCGGTCCACCTCCCTCCTGTAGGCGGACTCATCGTTGTTGGAGATGAGTCCAATGAGGGTGGTGTCGTCCGCGAACTTGATCAGCTTCACGGAGTCGTGGCTGGAGGTGCAGTGGTTGGTGTACAGGGAGAAGAGCAGGGGAGAAAGAACACAGCCCTGTGGGGCTCCTGTATTTATAATCCGAGAGTCCGAGACATTCTTCCCCAGACGCACTCGCTGCTTCCTGTCCGTCAGGAAGTCAGTGATCCACCTGCAGGTGGAATCGGGCACGTTGAGCTGGGAGAGCTTGTCCTGGAGCAGGGATGGCAGGATTGTGTTGAAGGCAGAGCTGAAGTCCACGAACAGGACCCTGGCGTAGGTCCCCGGGGAGTCCAGGTGCTGTAGGATGTGGTGGAGGGCCAGGTTAATGGCGTCGTCTACAGATCTGTTGGCTCTGTAGGCGAACTGCAGGGGGTCCAGGAGGGGGGAGGTGAGGGACTTGAGATGGGAGAGAACCAGGCGTTCAAATGACTTCATGACGACAGACGTAAGTGCTACAGGTCTGTAGTCATTGAGTCCTGTGATCCTGGGCTTCTTCGGGACGGGGACAATGATGGAGGATTTGAAGCAGGCCGGGACATGGCAGGACTGCAGAGAGGTGTTGAAAATGTCCGTGAACACAGGAGTAAGCTCACTGGCGCAGTGTCTCAGAGTGGCCGGAGACACGTGGTCCGGGCCAGGAGCTTTGCGGGGGTGCAGCCTCAGGAAGAGTTGTTTAATCTCTTTAGCGGCTATTGTTAGGCTGGGGGCAGGGCTGATGGGTGGGTCGTTAGAGTAGTGGGGGGTGGGGGAGGGAGAGGTGTCAGGGGCAGCATCAAAGCGACTGAAAAATAAGTTCAGATCGTCAGCTAGCTTGTGGTCATCAGCACAGGGGGGGGCTTTGGGTTTGTAGTTGGTGATCTCCCGTAGGCCCCTCCAGACAGAAGCAGTATCGTTGTTACCAAACTGCTCCTGTAGTCGTTCTCTGTGCCGGGACTTGGCTGCTTTCAGTTCTTTCCTGAACTGATATTTAGCTGCTTTGTAGCCGCTGCGGTCCCCCTCCCTGAAAGCAGACTCCTTTGCTTTCCTGAGCTGCCGGAGTTTAGCAGTGAACCAGGGTTTGTCGTTGTTATAGATGACCCTGGTCCTTGTTGGAATGATGCTATCCTCACAGAAGTGGATGTATGACGTCACAGTGTCCGTATATTCATCCAAGCTGTCTGTGGCAGCTCTGAAAAGGTCCCAGTCTGTAGATTCCATGCATGCGCGTAGCTCTTCCACAGCTTCATCAGACCACACTTTGGAGCTCCTCACTGCAGGTTTCGAGAGCTTTAGTCTCTGTCTGTAAGCAGGAACCAGATGTATCATGGAGTGATCTGAGAAGCCGAGGGCTGGCTTGGGAACAGCGCGAAAAGCTCCGCGCACGGTGGTGTAACAGTGATCCAGAGTGTTCTCCTCTCTGGTCGGGCATTTGATAAACTGTCTGTATTTGGGTAATTCCTGGCTCAAGTTTCCCTTATTAAAATCCCCCAGGATAATAATCAGAGAGTCCGGGTATAAGCGTTCCATACACAGTACTTGCTCTGCGAGTGCGCGCTGAGCCTCGCGCGCGTCCGCGCATGGCGGTATGTAAACAGAGGCAAGAATGAATGAAACAATTTCCCGCGGGGAGTAATATGGTTTACAATGAATGAAAAGATATTCCAGAGCAGGAGAGCAGTGCTTGGAGATCACTGTCACATCGTTACACCAGTTTGTATTGACGTAGAAACAGAGCCCTCCGCCTCTGCTCTTCCCTGAGAGCGCACAATGGCGATCCGCGCGAAACAGCCCAAAGCCCTGCAGCTCCAGAGCGCAGTCCGGGATCCGCTCATTTAGCCAGGTCTCAGTGAAGCAGAGGACACAGGATGTGGCGAAGTCCTTGTTTCTTCTCATGAGCAGGCTGAGTTCGTCCATCTTATTGCCCAGTGAGCGTACGTTGGAGAGAAAAATGCCGGGGAGAGCCGTGCGCGCTCCTCTCCTCCTAAGACGCACGAGCAGGCCTCCTCGCTTTCCCCTTTTACGGGCCCACACTTTTTTGGCTAGAACATGAACTAAATCAGCCGCAGATGCCAAGAAAACAGGCAATAGGTCCATGGGAACGGTGGGTCGGATGTTCATAAGTTCCTCACGGGTGTAGGAACAGCCAGATGCACAGTTAAAAAGTAAAAACAAAAGAAAAAGAGAGCAGCAAAGAGCCATGTCGACCGTACGAGGCGCCATCTTGAATCAATCAATTCATAAATAATAGTAAATAAGCAAATTCCACTGAATTTAGAAATATCTTGAGCCTCTGCGACTCTGGGAATGAGCAAACAAGTGTCTTATAGTCCATAGAAATATATAAATCATATATATAGTAGTGTAGAGTATATATAGTATAAATAATAGCAATAAATAAGCAAACACGTGTAAAAATAGAAATGTCTCCTGCGCAAACAAGCATTCTATACCGTAAATAAATAAATCATTCAGTGACAGTATAGTTTTATATATAGTATAAAATAATACAGCAGTAGTAGTATATAGAATTATGTATAGTAGTATTTATAGTAATAATGTAGTATAGTATATATAGTAGCATATATATAGTAGTATAGTCCCTGTGTGAGCGCTGTGACAGAAAAGCAGTGAAACAACCAGTGTTTGTGTGACGCACGGAGAGCAGCAGGTGAAATGACCAGAATGAGAGGCTGTGTTGCTGGTGTTGCTGGTGTTGCTGGTGTTGCTGGTGCCGAGACTAAAGCACAGACTGAGCAGAGAAAGGAGCCGGTGGCCAAACGCACTAATTGTATTTGCGTCGGCGAAAAACCTCCAAAAGGCGCTCGTTCCTTTGAGCCTGATTCGATTACGGCTCCGAGATGTGGCTTTTCTCGCTGCAGACGCGTGGAAGGAGGACGCTGCGCCATTTGGCTCTTCTTTCTTCTTTTTTTTTTTGCCTTCGTTCAATAATCGAATTAAGCATTTGCTACAACTTTCGGTCCCATGAGCTCGTGTGTGTATAGAAGAAGTCCCTCCAAAAGAAGACATTTGCATAATAGGGAGCAGGTCGATCCGTGAGAAGACACAAAGGCAGAAGAATAGAGCAGGAGAATAACAGAGACCGTGCTGCGGGAAATGGATGGACTTTCTTTCTTTGAACAAATGATTACGAGGCGCGCGCACCTGACGGGCCCGCGCTGAAAGGAGGCCGCGTTATGGATGACTCTATATATGTATCGCGGCTGAAATGACAAATATTTGGGTTAAACATCAGCGCGCATCATGGGAACGATCTGAGAAACACGCGTGAGAAAATGTGGAAATAATAAATAATAATAAAGAATTAAAACATATTATTTATTTATTTATAGGAGCATGGTATTAAAGATGTGACAAAAACTGTGGTTAAATTAACTACGGATCCACATTTGAGGACATTAATGGATGTTTGATTCTCTGTGTTGGGGAATCGACAACTTTGAAAAAAAGAAACTACTGTTATTATTTAGGGATAAACACAAATAAATTGGGTTGAATTGAACTTGCGTGAAGAGTGTGTGCGTCACCTTTAGAAATAGTGTCGGATTTAATGAATAACGTCAGATAGAAATAAGCAATATGGTCCACTTTGTTACATTTAATTGATGGTAAATTATGGAGTAACTAATTTGTTACAGAAGAACTTTACATGCGAGAGTTGTTATGATACTGAGAAAGTGACGAATGGAACCTGAGTGATTATATTATCATTTGTATATTTAAAAAAAACCTTTATGTAAATGTACTTTAAATGTACGTTACATGTCCGTTTAAACATTTGTACAAAATACAAAATTGTACAAAATTGTCATAAATAATTGAAATTCAATGCGACATTTGTGGCCATTTTTTTTTAAATTTAAACTTTTTTATTGAATAGAAAATGTGTTTATTTGACTGTATGAGCCTTTTCTTTCTCAGCTCAATATTGGTGCACACTTCCATATTGTCATGTTTTTGTTTAGGGGCTGGGGCTGGAGCTGGGGCTGGAGCTGGGCTGGGGCTGGAGCTGGGGCTGGGGCTGGAGCTGGGGCTGGAGCTGGGGCTGGAGCTGGGGCCCGAGCTGGGGCTGGAGCTGGGGCTGGAGCTATAGCTGGGTCTGGAGCTGGGGCTGGAGCTGGGGCTGGAGCTATAGCTGGGTCTGGAGCTGGGGCTGGAGCTGGGGCTGGAGCTGGGGCCCGAGCTGGGGCTGGAGCTGGGGCTGGAGCTATAGCTGGGTCTGGAGCTGGGGCTGGAGCTGGGGCTGGAGCTATAGCTGGGTCTGGAGCTGGGGCTGGAGCTGGGGCTGGAGCTGGGGCCCGAGCTGGGGCTGGAGCTGGGGCTGGAGCTGGGGCTGGAGCTGGGGCTGGAGCTGGGGCTGGAGCTGGGGCTGGAGCTGGGGCTGGAGCGACTGTGAGAAGTGTGCGTAAGAAGAGCCGCGCGTTCACCTGATTACGACCCAAACCGAATTAAGCCGGAGCCAATACAGAGCCGAGAGTCCACCGCGCGCCCGCTACTTCGTTACTTTCATTACCGAGATGCTGTTTGGCAAATAGAGGGAATAATGAACGTAATAAAGACGATTACGCACTCATTTGAATCATAAAACACACGCGCACGCACACACGTTCCTTCACACGCTGTTTGGAACCATTTAGAGCTGTAACAGGATTTATTAGTGCATAAATGACCAATTAAAATCTGATCTAATTCTCCTTGTGTTTCAAATAAACGCGATCTTATCCTAAATCTATTTGCAGTGAATGAATTGGGAGCACTTCACGGACGGTGGAAGCTTCTACGCCAAGTTCACGGAATATATTTTTAACATTTAGATATTTATTGGGCTGCGTTTAGTTGTCAAAAATGAGTCCGTTTCAAATCTGCACTACAAACAATTCAAATACATAAAATTTATTTTTGCCCTAAATTACAACAATATTTATCTTGCAAAACTGTTGATTTGCCAACGCAGATCAGAGAATCAAACAATGCACACACGGGAAATGTAATGATAAAAACACACACATGTCGGTTGGTGCATAAGCGGCAGAGACCAGTGTCCATAAATGTTAATAATATCCATAAATGTCTCTGAATGTCACTGTCCAGACCTCAACGCATTGTCATGTAGTTCGTAAAGCACTGGTGTGTGTGTGTGTGTGTGCGTGTGCGTGTGCGTGTGTGTGCGTGTGTGTGTGTGCGTGTGTGTGTGTGCGTGTGTGTGGACCTTAGATGTTGCTATGGTAACATTATTGCTGAACCATTTGACAGTCCGTAAATAAATAAACCCGTGTAACATAGAGTCTGGAACATAGAGTCAAGAACATATAGTCTGGAACATAGAGTCAAGAACATATAGTCTGGAACATAGAGTCTGAACATAGAGTCTGGAACATAGAGTCTATAACATAGAGTCAGAACATAGAGTCAGAACATAGAGACTAGAACATAGAGTCTGGAGCATAGAGTCTGAACATAGAGTCTATAACATAGAGTCAGAACATAGAGTCAGAACATAGAGTCTGGAACATAGAGTCAGAGCATAGAGTCTGGAACATAGAGTCAAGAACATAGAGTCTAGAACATAGAGTCTGGAACATAGAGTCAGAAAATAGAGTCAGAACATACAGTCAGGAACATAGAGTCAGAACATAGAGTCTGGAACATACAGTCAGGAACATAGATTCAGAACATAGAGTCAGAACATAGAGTCTGAACATAGAGTCAAGAACGCAGAGTCTGAGCATAGAGTTTGAAACATAGAGTCTGAACATAGAGTCAAGAACATAGAGTCTGAGCATAGAGTCTGGAACATAGAGTCTGAACATAGAGTCAAGAACATAGAGTCTGAGCATAGAGTCAAGAACATAGAGTCTGGAACATAGAGTCTGAACATAGAGTCAAGAACATAGAGTCAAGAACATAGAGTCAAGAACATAGAGTCAAGAACATAGAGTCAAGAACATAGAGTTTGAAACATAGAGTCTGAACATAGAGTCTGGAGCCTAGAGCCTATAACACAGAGTCAGAACACAGAGTGAGCAGCAGAGAGGGCAGAGCAGAGCGCGCGCGGGCAGCAGGGGATTCTCGTGAAACCCGGTCCAAGGTATACGCTGCTTAAAAGGCTTAAAAGCTTGGAGCAAATTGGATCAGGGAGAATCGTCACCCAACTTTCATTATTTCCAAGTGGTGTGATTGAATTAAAGGGCAAGATGGTGGTTGGAGAGGAGCGGGGTGCGCGCGTGGGGGGAGGCTGGGGGGCTGCGTAATGGCGTGGTATTAAATTCTAATTAGAGATGCAGGGGGATCAATGATAGGGAGGTTGGACAGCCCGGGCCCCCAGTGCCAGCCCAATAGACTGATGAGTTATTGTCATGTAAAAAAGCGCTAGCAATAAGACCAAACGCTTTGCTATTGTCCAAGCGGAAAGAGCCAAGTTTATTATGAGGACTATATGCTCTAGAGACCTCGGGCTAGGCGGCTCTTAGGGGGCTTTTCATAAAACAGGGCTAGGTTCTTATAAAGCAGGCCAGTGTAGGAGCAGGCGCGGAGCAGTGCACATCTCACCACGGCCCAGCCTCCTCTCACTCTCTGAATATTCACCAAAGCTGCAGTAGTGAAGCAGCAGCAGCAGGGAGCGGACCGCCCCGTTCTCCTCCAAAGCCGCGGCGTCTTCGTGTGTTTCTTTTCCTCGGTGCAGATCTCGGTCTCCGCGTGGCTTCTCCAATGTATAAGATGGAGTATTCTTACCTGAACTCCTCTGCCTACGAGTCATGTATGGCCGGGATGGACACGTCGAGCCTGGCGTCGGCCTACGCGGACTTCAGCTCGTGCAGCCAGGCGGGCGGCTTCCAGTACAACCCCATCAGGACCACGTTCGGGGCCACCTCCGGGTGCCCCTCTCTCACGCCGGGATCGTGCAGCCTGGGGACGCTGCGGGACCACCAGAGCAGCCCGTACGCCGCAGGTGAGCCTCTCTGCAGCGCGGTATTATAGCGCGCCTTGATTGCATTTGAAAATGGAAATGTGTTTAGTATTTACCAAACGAAATTTGCTTACACAAATGAAAGAATTTATCACGTTAGAAGCGATTGCAGGCAAGAGGTAATTCAGTTACAGGGTTATAGTATCCCAGTCACACCCAAAACCGCCAACAGAATTATCTTAAGCTGCCAAAATGATCGGCGTAATTTATTTACTTTGCGATGAGACATAAAACTTGGCGAATAATTAGATAAGGACAAAAGCTGATTATTGAGTCAGAGTTACAGCAACACGCACAGCAGCGTCACACGTTTGAAGTCAAACCCCAATTTGTGCAACAATTAGTTTATCCTCAACAATTAAACTGATCACGGGTCAAAGCTTTTCCCGCTTCAGCCTCAGTGGGTCTCTGAGACCGGGGACACGGCACCGCGGCACCGCCACCCGCTCCACGCTCCAGCCCGGGACACACACTGATACACACACTAACACACACTGATACACACACTGATACACACACTGCCAAACACACTGATACACACACTGACATACACTGATACACACACTGATACACACAGTGATACACACATTGCCATACACACTGATACACACTGCTACACACACTGACACATACACTGATATACACGCTGATACACACTGCTACACACACACACACACACAGCTACACACTGCTTTACACACTGACACACACTGATACAAGCTGCTATACACTGACACACACACTGCTACACACAGATACACACTGACACATGCGTTGCCATACACTGACACACACACTGCTACACACTGCTACACACACACGCTGACACACACTGCTACACACAGACACACACTCTGCTACACACTAACCGCTCCTGTCTCCCGCAGTTCCGTACAAACTGTTCACGGACCACGGAGGCCTGAACGAGAAGCGGAAGCAGCGTCGCATCCGCACCACTTTCACGAGTGCGCAGCTGAAGGAGCTGGAGCGCGTGTTCGCGGAGACGCACTATCCAGACATCTACACACGGGAGGAGCTGGCCCTGAAGATAGACCTGACCGAGGCACGAGTCCAGGTATTTGTTTGTTTCATTATATTTATTTATTTGTTGATGTTTATGAAGGTGATCATTTTATAAAGAAAAAAACAATGATCACAAATCAACGACACGTTTAGTTTAAATCATTAATTTAATTTAAACTTTCACATTTCAGAAAATAGTTGGATTTGTCTTTTATATGAATCTTTCTCTTCGTGGCTGAGTCCACGCGGGGCTTTGTGGACTTTCCAAAACTGGGCCAAACTAGAAAAAACATATTTTTTTTTGCTTTGAATTATTTCTTGGGGCCAACGGTGCTTTTACCCAGCTCCAAGGACCTAATTCATGAACCCCAGACACCTCTAACTACATGTGGACATATTTATTTGTATAAATATACTAAATGCAGATGTTGTTGTTGCAGGTGTGGTTCCAGAACAGACGCGCCAAGTTCCGCAAACAGGAGCGCGCGGCGGCCGCAGCAGCCGCAGCTGCGAAATCCAATTCAGGAAAGAAATCTGACTCGAGAGACGAGGACATTAAAGACAACAAAGCCACAGACCCGGACAGCACTGGCGGTCCCGGGCCAAACCCTGTGCCCACTTCCTGTGGGGGCCCCAGCCCCACGGGGGGTCAGGTCATCACCAGCGGCAGCGGGCAGGTGGACCCCGTGAAGACAGTGTCGAGTGGCGGCATGGTGGGCTCCCCGAGCCAGGGCTGGGCCACCGGCCCCGGGACCATCACGTCCATCCCGGACTCGTTGGGGGGGCCCTTCGCCAGTGTCCTGTCCTCTTTGCAAAGACAGAACGGAGCCAAAGCCACATTAGTAAAGACCGGCATGTTCTGAGCGCGTGCGTTCTGGACCATACGATTCCCCCGTGCTCATTCATGTGTCCACCAAGTGTCCGCAACGCGTCCATCACGTGTCCATCACGTGTCCACCACGTATCCATCACGTGTCCACCTGTCAGACTGTGTCCCAGAGCGGGGCCGGGACGCGGGGAGAGGACAGAGGCCGTGGACGCGGTGTTTGTCTCACTTTAGTTTCTTTCAGTCGTCTGTAGATTCTTCAGGTTGTGGGCCTCACGCTGCGCACGTTTGAGCTGCGTCTCTCTGAGAGTCAGACTCTTGTGAACACTTAGTATTCCTCTTTTTTGATCTAGTTCGACCTTTGTTCACGGTCCTCAAATACGCGCAGTCTGTGGCTCCAGCTCCAGGGAACTCACGGACGATGAATTCTCAAAGGCACAAGCTCCTGATGGATCCTGTTTTGTGTGTCTTTCTACGGCTGTGTTTGTGGCTCTGGTTGTATAGTGTTAATACGTATCTCGTCTCTAGTTGCAGCATTTAGGCCAAACTGTAGACCACGCGGAGCCTGTGGACTTCTTCTATTCCCTCCGAAGATTTTATTTTGTCTAAAAGAAGGGAACGGATGCGAACATAGTGTATTTATTTGGTTTATAATTTGCATGTTGTCTTTTTGTCTGATTTGACAACTCCTCATTTCGTGAACATTATGTAACTTGTTTTGTCCAGGATTTGAAAGTTATTTATATGTAGCTAATGAATGCTTATATTTAAGAAGGACATATTTCTACATGTGCACATAGTTTTCCAGGTGTACCATTCGAATGGTTGTTGATGATAAAAAAAATAGTACAAATTTCTTTCGTCACGTTTTCATTGTATTTCAACGTTTTATGCATTGATTCAAAATGGACCAAATTATGAGTATACTGACTAAAACCGTCAAATAAAGAAGCGGGTTTTATAGATATATTTACGGGAGCGCGGTTTCAGCACCATGGACAGCGAAGACGAAGCGAGCGGCGACTATTGCTATTATTACTATTATTACTAACATAAACGAATTCTGTCATTACCCACAGAGAAGAACAAAACACAAACACACATTGACAACACAACACTTAAGTGAAAAATAAGGTACACTTGGAAATGTACAGATAAGCAAACATTATAAAGATTACTTATAGCCCCGTATCAGACATATTATAGATGTGTCTTTTCCAGCAACTCCTACGTAAATTAAAATTAAATAATCTTTCATTCGTTCCACTGTGGAGACATTTCAGTGTTGCATCACAAGTTATAGAACAGTATTGAAAAAGGAGCACACAGCACAAGTTAAGTGAACAATAACTATACCAACTAAAACAAAACAAAATCCCTAAATCTAGCAAATAACAAGTATAAAATCTCCATCTTGAAACAAATAATAATAATAAAGAAGTATATTTTTTCAACATTTGGCAAAATAAGAGGCAAGTATAAAGTATGTGTTGAATTCAGAACTAACAGATTTTACAGCAAAACTGAATATTCCCAGAGCTGAGCAGAGACAGCCAGATATTACATAGTATTTAATTCATTCGCAAAACTCAAGTACTTTTACTAATATTTCTAAAACATTAAGGCAATTGTTGCAATAAAGGAAACGTTTAACAAAACCAGAGAATATTCAAAAATAATTACAAACTTAAACAAATATGTTGAATGAAAAAAAGGTTTCTACAATTTCCTCTCATTCTTCACACTATGATTCGATTCGATTTTGGTTGAATCTCTATATGATTTTCTCCTGATCTTGTTTTTTTTTTTTAGAAATAACTTTTACGTTGAACTTATAACTCAAACCTTTAACATTCACTCTTGAAGAAAACAATGTCATTTTTTTTCTTTTTTGGACTTTCTAAGATGTAGGACACTAATAACACACAAATACTTAAATCTACCTTTTTTTAAACCCCTATAAAATATATACTTTTTTATTATAGGCCTTTACCAAATGGTTGAGATGCAGGGTGATGGTAAAAGTGAAATTTTTATTCAGTTCCGAGAAACTATTAAACGATTAAACTTTGTGTAATTTATAAAAATCCAGAAATGGTGAAAACAAGATTCCTGAGGCTGTTTGTTCCGTAACATTTTATTTATAAACAGTTTACGATGCTGTGAATATAACATTTGCATTTCCACACAGCTCCGTCTTTAGTTTGATACAATAATAATAAATATAGAAGGAGAAAAGCTGAGGTTTTCTTCTGCCGCCAAACAAAAACGCAAATATGAAACTTAGATCAGAGCTGCACTAAACCCATCGCTTCTACAGCAGGACATTGGTTTTCAGCATTCAGGAGGGAGCAGGAAGAGAGGAGGACAGAGGAGAGGAGGAGAGGAGAGGACAGAGGAGAGAGGAGGAGAGGAGGAAGAGAGAGCAGAAGAGAGGAGCAGGAGAGAACAGAGGAAGAGGAGAGGAGCAGGATAGAGGAGAGGAGGAGAGGGGAGAAAACAGAGGAGGAGAGAGAAGAGGAGGAGAGAGCACAGGAGAGGAAGAGGAGAGAGCAGAGGAGGAGAGAGAAGAGGAGGAGAGAGCACAGGAGAGGAAGAGGAGAGAGCAGAGGAGGAAAGAGCACAGGAGAGGAAGAGGAGAGAGCAGAGGAGGAGAGAGCACAGGAGAGGAAGAGGAGAGAGCAGAGGAGGAGAGAGCACAGGAGAGGAAGAGGAGAGAGCAGAGGAGGAGAGAGCAGAGGACGAGAGGAGCAGAGGAGAGAGCAGAGAAGCAGAGGAGAGAGCAGAGGAGCAGGGGAGAGGAGGGGAGAAGGAGAGAGCAGAGGAGAGGAGCAGGAGAAGAGAGGAGCAGGAGAGAGGAGCAGAGGAGCAGGGGAGAGGAGGGGAGCAGGAGAGAGGAGCAGAGGAGCAGGGGAGAGGAGGGGAGCAGGAGGGCATTCCAGCTGTAGAAAAGGAGTCTCCAGCCTGTGTCTCGGGAGCTACAGTAGCTCTCTAAAGGATTTAGAATTTAACAAACGATCCTGAATGGACACAGTTTAAGTCATAACATTATCATAAATATAAATACAGGCTTATACAGTATTATGGTGTGTTTAAAAAAAAAGAAAATATTTTTAAATTATTTTATAGATTTTTTATTGCAGCCTCAAAAAGAAGTAGCTCTCTGCCTTTTTCTTTGTACAAAAGTAGCTCTCTGATTGAAAAAGGCTGGAGACCCTGATGCAGCACATCATGACTCAAGTCTCCGCTGGATCATCTCGCGCAACCGAGGTCGTCATGACAACAGCGTGTAGCATTCAAAACGGCGAGGAAGCAGCGAGCGGCGAGGAAGCAGCGAGCGCTTTCTTAAGGCACGTGACACTTTTCATTTTTTTACACCTTTTTCACGTTTTCGGTCTCACACTGGTCTTATTGCCCTAAATAGTCCACAATTCAATCTGAAAAATAACATATTTGTTTCCGAGGCTTGAAAAATAGTGTTTTTTAAATCGACCGTTATTGCACTTGTTTCAACACAGTCTGTTCTGCAAAAGGTGAGAAAGAGACCAGAGAGAGACCAGAGGGAGACTAGAGAGAGACTAGAGAGACACCAGAGAGAGACCAGAGGGAGACTAGAGAGAGACTAGAGAGAGACCAGAGGGAGACTAGAGGGAGACCAGAGGGACCAGAGAGAGATCAGAGAAGACTAGAGAGAGACCAGAGAAGGACCAGAGAGAGAGTAGATAGAGAGAAGAGAGAGACCAGAGCGAGACTAGAGAGACTAGACAGACTAGAGAGGGACCAGAGAAACCAGAGAGGCCAGAGAGAGACAAGAGAGGGACTAGAGCGAGACTAAAGAGACACCAGAGAGAGACCTGAGAAGACTAGAGAGAGACCAGAGAGGGACCAGAGAGAGACCAGAGAGAGACCAGAGAGAGACCAGAGAGAGACCAGAGAGAGACCAGAGAGAGACAAACTCATTCAATTGCAGCCGCTTCTTGTGTTTTCTTATTCCCAAATTAAAAAAAGCTTTAAATGTGACTAACTGCGTCTTTAGCGACAGCTCGACTCTGTAGCAACAACTAAATGTGGAAAGGTCCATTGCGTCTCTTTAGGTTTTAAGAACTCAGAACATTCCAAGTCTTGAGCCACAACATCGTCCGGTCTCGTCCCACGGACCAATCACACGACAGACGCACACAGGACAAGGATGTTTGGACCCGTCCCCGGACTCTGCACGGCGATGGCTCCTGATTGGTCAGACCGGACGGTGGAGGATGCGGTAATCGTGTTAAGATGGACGGCTGGCTCTGCTGCATCACAACATGGTGGGCTGTCCGGCCGCTGCAGGCAAAAACACAGAGAGAAAACAGAGAAAAGAGGCATTCGTTTGTCAGATATTAAATACACACTGAAATACAGGCCTTAAAGGTGCTCTGTGAAATATTTTAAAGTTGCTTCAAATGAAAAAAACATAATAACCAATAACAAATGTGAGCTTTGAACATTTACCTCCACCATGTTTTTGAATTGTTGTCATAGACTTGTCAACTTGACTTATAAATGTCCATGAGGCTGGAGGACCCTACATGTCCATGCGCCATTTTGAAATTCAGTGGTTGATAAAAAGGAGTTTGAGTGGGATTTGGGGACCACTGTCAAAGGCGATATATTGTCCTGCGAAGGCTACCGTAGCACTGTAGATTATAATTTATGATCTCAATGCTAGATGGGAGTAAAAACTACACAGTGCACCTTTAAAAACCATCTGTAAATGAATCCACAGGTCACATTTATGGTTGTGTATTTATGGTCTCTGCTCCGCATGGACCAATGTCTCTGTGTGTTTGTGATCGTTGCATTTCCTGTGTTGGAACAGTTTGATTCTCTTGTCTGTTGTTGGAGAATCGGCAGCGTTGTAAAGTCCCCAGAGACAACTACAGTTGAGATTTACGGTGATTCAAGAATGAATTGAATTGAACAAAGTTGTGTTGTGATGATGGAAGGGGGAAAGTGTACGGAGCAAGTGCTCAGATGTCCAGAGACAAAGGGTTTGGAGTCAATGTGTAATATAATACACAATATTATGAAGTGTAATAAATAACATCTGGTCAATCTCTGGTCTATCTCTTGTCTCTGGTCTTTCCATGGTCTATCTCTGGTCCCTCTGGTCTATCTCTAGTCTCTCTCTGGTCTTTTTCTGGTCTTTCTCTGGTCTCTCTCTGATCTCTCTGGTCTTTCTCTGGTCTCTCTCTGGTCTCTCTCTGGTCTTTTTCTGGTCTCTCTCTGATCTTTCTGGTCTTTCTCTGGTCTTTCTCTGGTCTCTCTCTGATCTCTCTGGTCTCTCTCTGGTCTCTCTCTGATCTCTCTGGTCTTTCTCTGGTCTCTCTCTGGTCTCTCTCTGGTCTCTCTCTGGTCTCTCTCTAGTCTCTCTCTAGTCTCTCTCTGGTCTATCTCTGGTCTATCTCTAGTCTCTCTCTAGTCTCTCTCTGGTCTATCTCTGGTCTATCTCTGGTCTCTCTCTGGTCTCCCTAGTCTCTCTAGTCTCTCTCTGGTCTCTCTCTGGTCTTTCTCTGGTCTCTCTCTGATCTCTCTGGTCTCTGGTCTTTCTCTGGCTTCTTTCTGGTCTTTCTCCGGTCTCTCTCTGGTCTCTTTCTAGTCTCTTTCTGGTCTCTCTAATCTCTCTCTGTTCTTGCTGTAGAAACATACCGTACAAATACCACATATCGGAGATTTGAGCTAAAAAATGACACGGAAAAACAAAGAATTTGTCGCACCAAAACGACCTCGTATCAAAACAGAATCTGTGTAACAAAAAGCCGATTGTGATGTCACACCCTGCCCCGGCTCATAACGCCGGCTTCTCTCTTCTCTCAGTCTCGCACACTTCTTTATTAAAGGCGCCACACGATCCGGAGTCCCTATATTAAAATCAGCAGCTTAGGAGCCGGGCCGCAATCAAGATGGCAACTTTCAGAAGGCGTCGTCCTGAATCTTGATTACAAACACTGTCACGGAGCCTTTCGCGTCTATAAATCTAACAGACTTTCCCTTTTCTTCAGCACATGCCGCCATTAAAAGTGCACTTATTAGCCGCGGTATGATGCACGAGTGGCATTAGCGAGCAATAAGGCTCTCGGCGCCTCCATACTCCGTCATGTTTAAGTCGAGTTTTATGAAAAGTTGCCGTGTTTACATTTTTTGGGGAGGGATTTGAAAATGGCTGCAGGGGTTTTGGATTCGGCAAAAGGTGAGTAATGGAGAGAGAGAGAGAGAGAGAGATGCAAAAAGGGCGATCGATCAGGGCGCGGCTTTCAGTTTCAGAACGGGGGAAATCAAACATTGTTGGGAGAAAGAGTTTGGCTGTAATGGATCAAAGCGTCTGGGCACTTACTGTTGTTGTGTCTCTGGGCAAGATAACTCACCCGCACTGTGTTTACTGGGTTTGTCCACACAGAAGGGGACAGAGGTGTGACAGAGGCCGAAAGTTAGATTTGAATAATAGTCAGTAAATATATGATGTTTTTCATGGTTCCAAATCTCTCCTCTGTCCATTAGAAGAACGAGAAGAGAACTGTTGTGTACATTAGTCACATGTTCTATAGTAACTGTTTATTTGTGACTCGGACCTAATCCAGAGATAGAGACCAGACAGAGACCAGAAAGAGAGACCAGAGAAAGAGCAGAGAGAGACCAGAGACACCAGAGAGAATTCCAGAGAGAGAACAGAGAGAGAACAGAAAGAGAGACCAGAGAAAGAGCAGGTAGACCAGAGACTAGAGAGACCATCGAGAATTCCAGAGAGAGGACAGAGAGAGACCAGATACACCAGAGACACCAGACAGAGAGACCAGAGAGAGACTTCATAGACGAGAGACACCAGAGAGAAAGAGAACAGAGAGAGACCTTAGAGAGATCAGATAGACCAGAGATATCAAAGAGACTAGAGAGAGACTAAATAGACCAGAGCCAGAGAGAGAGAGGGAGACCAGAGAGAGACTAGATAGACTAGAGACACCAGAGAGAGAGGGACACCAGAGAGAGACCAGATAGACCAGAAAGGGACCAGAGACACCAACGAGAGAGAGACCAGGGAGAGTTCCACAAAGTACTCTTTCAAGGAAATCATATGTTTGAGGTCATGTGTCAAAATGTACCAATGTTTTAGCTCGGTTAGCACTTCTGCAAAAAGACCAGAGAGAGACTAGATAGACCAGAGACACCAGAGAGAGAGAGAGAGAGCAAGACCAGATAGAGACCAGAGAGACCAGAAAGAGAGACCAGAGATAATTTAAGAGAGACCAGAGAGAATTCCAGAGGGGGACCCGAGAGAGACCAGAGAGAGTTCCAAAAAGTACTCTTTCGTTTGAGCTCCAGCGTTTTAGCTCGGTTAGCACTTCTGCAAAAGGACCAGAGAGACTAGATAGACCAGAGACACCAGAGAGAGAGAGAGAGAGAGAGACCAGATGGAGATCAGATAGAGACCAGAGAGAGAGACCAGAGAAAGACCAGAGAGAATTTAAGAGAGACCAGAGAGAGACCAGAGAGAGTTCCACAAAGTACTCTTTCGTTTTAGCTCCAGTGTTTTAGCTCGGTTAGCACTTCTGCAAAAGGATGCTACATAATGACTGTTGCACCGAGCCAAAGCAATTTCCAAGTCTGTGACTGTTAAAAATGATTCTGATTCTGATTCTGAAACCAAATGTAACACCAGAGCCGCACACAGATGTATTTGTCTTTTGTTTGCCGATGATTATATCCCTGATAACCCTGGGGCCTCGTGCTAATGGGTGGGAGCCGGAGCCCTGAGAGCCACTCAGCAGCAGCAGACAGAGACAGAGACATACAGAGAGAGAGACAGAGACAGAGACAGACAAAGACAGAGAGAGAGACAGAGACAGGGACAGACAAAGACAGAGAGAGAGACAGAGACAGAGACAGACAGAGACAGAGACAGAGACAGACAGAGACAGAGACAGACAGACAGAGACAGAGACAGACAGACAGAGACAGAGACAGAGACAGAGACAGAGACAGACACAGACACAGAGACAGAGACAGACAGACAGAGACAGAGACAGAGACAGACAGACAGAGACAGAGACAGACAGACAGAGACAGAGACAGACAGACAGAGACAGAGACAGACAGAGACAGAGACAGAGACAGACAGACAGAGACAGACAGAGACAGAGACAGAGACAGACAGACAGAGACAGAGTCAGAGACAGACAGACAGAGACAGAGACAGACAGACAGAGACAGACAGAGACAGAGACAGAGACAGAGACAGAGACAGACAGAGACAGAGACACAGACAGACAGAGACAGACAGAGACAGAGACAGACAGACAGAGACAGAGACAGAGACAGACAGACAGAGACAGAGACAGAGACAGAGACAGAGACAGACAGACAGAGACAGAGACAGACAGACAGAGACAGAGACAGACAGACAGAGACAGAGACAGAGACAGAGACAGAGACAGAGACAGAGACAGAGACAGACAGAGACAGAGAGACAGACACAGACACAGACACAGACACAGAGACAGACAGAGACAGAGAGACAGAGACACAGACACAGACACAGACAGACAGAGACAGACAGAGACAGACAGAGACAGACAGAGACAGAGACAGACAGAGACAGACAGAGACAGAGATAGACAGAGACAGAGACAGACAGACACAGACAGAGACAGACTTACAGCGTGAGCGGATGTAGCACTGGTGGCAGTTCAGGAGGCCGTTCCGGATCCGCACGTCGGTCCCAGTTGTGGTGTCGCCCAAGAGCCCCTTACACACACCGCACTGAAAACACACACAACACACACAGGCACACACACAACACACAGAATCAGTGTTTTGTCGCATTACAGAAACGCTACAGCTAGATTGATATTGAAGCATTTACAGCTAGCTAAGAGACGTAGCAGCTGTATATTTTGTGTGCTCCCTGTGTTATCTTAGTACTGTCCTGTCTGTGCGCTGCAACACTAAAATTTCCCCACTGTGGGACGACGTAAGGATCTCTAAATGTGTTCAGGACAGAGCCGATGATCCAACACATTTGACATTCAACGACATTTATGGGAATCTATTCACATTGCTACTTCTGCTTGTTGTGACAGACCATAACAAATGTCTTTGAATAATATGAGGACTAGGGCTGGGTCATATCATACCTTTCAAGGTAATACCGGTGTAATGTTATGGTACGATATGAATTTGACATATCGCGATAGAACTTGGTCTTAACGCGCGTGCGCAGTACCAATGTTTTCATGCAGTCTAGCACATGGAGTGAGAAGCATGGCGGCGACCGAGGAGGCGGCATGCACAAGCGAAACATTGACTGACACAAGTGAACCAGAATTGGTTTGCAAAAAAGGTGCAACATCCGTGGTGTGGAGCTGTTTTGGTTTTTGCCCGTCGGATACACGGCAGAACACTATTTTTTGCAAAATATGCAAGCGGTCCGTCGTGGCGAAGGGAGGAAACACCACGAACCTGTTTCACCATTTGAAGCAAAAGCACTTACTGGAGTACAACAAAGCTGTAAAAGCACGCGAGGAGGCGTCTGCATCAACTGATGATGTGGTGAGACCAAAGAAACACACTCAGCAAACAATCGGCGTAACTTTAAATAATGGCGCACCTTATGAAAAAGGTAGCAAACGCTGGGGGGACCTAACTAATGCGGTGACACGTTGTTTGGCCAGGGATATGATGCCCATTCCGAGTGTCGAAAGAGAGGGCTTTTCGAAAATGCTTAAAACATTTGATCCCCGCTACAAGCTGCCCTCCAAGAAGTACTTTTCTAAAGTCGCCTTGCCGGCATTATATGAAGACGCCCGTACTGAAGTGTCAAATGCACTCTCTTCGGTGGAGTTTTTTGCGTCCACCACGGACATGTGGTCTAGCCGCACATCGGACCCATACCTGAGTCTCACAATACACTACGTGGACAAAGACTGGAAGCTACAAAATAAGTGCCTTGAAACAAGTTTCTTCCCTGAACGACCATACGGGGGAAAATATAGCGAAGGGCTTAAAAGAATTCCTCAACTCATGGAAACTTGGAGAGGAAAAACAAGTGTGTGTGACAACAGACAACAGAGCGAATGTAGTGAAAGCCACCTCGCTTAACAACTGGACCAGGCTTTCATGCTTTGGACATCGCCTGCACATTGGAATAGGTAAGTTAATTAAAACGTTAGATGTAGTCTTGTATTCTTTAAAATAAAGGTAGCCAGAACTGTATTGCATGGTGTTGATTTGATTTAAAAATAAATAAATTAATAATTTGTAGTCTAAGGCTGGATGTGGTCAGTTTTGATGCAAATCCTGCTTTGGTTTAGTCCTTGTGTGGCCTCTGTTTGGTTTTTATATTTATAAAAATAAAATTACACAAATGTTAATACCCTTTGGAATGGGCACTTAAAGTTTATATATAGATAAAATAAACTTTAATTGTCACCCATTCCACCCAATAATATTTGTTTTAAATAATAAACTTGGTGTTCATTTTTTTTGTCCTTTGTGCCTTTTTAGAAAGAAGCATGAAAGACCCAAGGATTGAACGAGCAGTTGGAGTAGGCAAAAAGATCGTCGCTGCGTTTGGACACAGCTGGAAGCGCCAACGAGCTCTTCAGGCTGCCCAAAAAGAACTGGGCCTACCAGAACACAAACTCATAACTGAATGTTGCACTCGTTGGGGTTCGAGGCAAAGAATGATCCAGCGACTTCTTGAACAGGAAAAGGCTATAGCACAGGTTTTAGCTGCTGATAAAACCACAAGACACCTCATGTTGACATGGCAAGACATAGAGGTACTTGACTCTATAAGCACTGCCTTGAGTCCGCTTCTCGAGTTCACAGATGCTTTTTCTGCTGAAGAATACGTGACCATTTCATGTGTTAAGCCTGTTCTTCAGATTTTCAACAACGACCTGTTAAAAGTAAAAGACAATGACACTCAGCTGACCAAAGACATCAAAACAGCAATACTTGACTACATGAACAAAAGCTACAAAGACAGTGTCACAGAGAGGCTTATTAACATGGCTTCTCTCCTTGATCCACGCTTCCGCACAGAATATCTCAGCGAGAGTGAAAGTGAAGCCATCAAAGTCCAAGCCATCAGTGAACTGGAGCATCTTGTGTCAGACCAGGGTAGCACAGCTATAGGTTTTTCAGAAACCCCTCCTCCAGCCTCAGGAGACCAGATAAGTCAGGGAGCTGCTAAAAAGCAAAGGAAGAGCCTTGGAAGCTTTTTGAAGGGGTCAGTTAGTGGCAAGACAGATGTAACTGCAGAAAGGTTATTATCTGAACTGAGCAGCTATGTAAATAGTCCAGCAGCAGACGGTAAGTGTGATCCACTTGTGTGGTGGAAAATTCACACAGTAAACTTTCCCCACATCAGCAGGTTAGCCAGAAAATACCTGTGCATTCCTGCTACTAGCTCTGCATCTGAAAGGTTGTTCAGCACAGGTGGAAATGTAGTAACTTGTCAAAGGTCATCCCTGAAGCCCTCAACTGTTAACATGCTGGTGTTTCTGACAAAGAATCTTAAAGCTTGAACATATGAAGCTAACTTCTACCTCCATGCTCAATAGCATTATTCATTCACATATTATTTTTGTTTACTCAAGGGTTTGTGCAATTTTATTATTTCACTTATTTATATTGCACACTGCAGTTTTATGTTGCAAAGCAACTCTACTTTACTTTTGTGGATATGCTCAGGAGATGTCAACAAATTCAATGCCTTGTGATTTCACAAACTTGTTTCACAATTTACAACTTGTGTAATAATGATTTTGGTACAAAATGATAGTTTTAATGCACATCAAAAACAGCCGCTTGTGTAATTGAAAAGAAATGTTTTCTTCTATTTGCACCAATAAAGCTGTGCAGTTTTGAAATATTTTGTCTAGCTTCAAATATATCGTCTGTTATATCGTTATCGCAAATGTTGCTATTTATATCGTGATACATTTTTTTGACCATATCGCCCTGCCCTAATGAGGACCATGAATCGAAATATATCACAGAGTCGCAATACTGTCTGCAATCTCACTGCGGGTGGGTGGGGGTGTACCCGGAAAGAGAATAACCCAATGCTTTTGTATGGTCTTTTTTTTACCTTGAAGCAGTGGATGTGGAAGTAGAGGCTCAGAGTCTCGATGATCATGGCGGCTCCTTTCCCCAGAGGCTGAGTGCAGCTGGAACACAGCTTTTTCCCACTCACAGACCTGCACCAAGAGCACAGGGACACACGGGTGAGAACCAGGAGCACAGGGACACACGGGTGAGAACCAGGAGCACAGGGACACACGGGTGAGAACCAGGAGCACAGGGACACACGGGTGAGAACCAGGAGCACAGGGACACACGGGTGAGAACCAGGAGCACAGGGATACACGGGTGAGAACCAGGAGCACAGGGACACACGGGTGAGAACCAGGAGCACAGGGACACACGGGTGAGAACCAGGAGCACAGGGATACACGGGTGAGAACCAGGAGCACAGGGACACACGGGTGAGAACCAGGAGCACAGGGACACACGGGTGAGAACCAGGAGCACAGGGACACACGGGTGAGAACCAGGAGCACAGGGACACACGGGTGAGAACCAGGAGCACAGGGACACACGGGTGAGAAACAGGAGCACAGCAGGGACACACGGGTGAGAACCAGGAGCACAGGGACACACGGGTGAGAACCAGGAGCACAGGGACACACGGGTGAGAACCAGGAGCACAGGGACACACGGGTGAGAACCAGGAGCACAGGGACACACGGGTGAGAAACAGGAGCACAGCACGGACACACGGGTGGAACCAGGAGCACAGGGACACAAGGGTGAGAACCAGGAGCACAGGGACACACGGGTGAGAACCAGGAGCACAGGGACACAAGGGTGAGAACCAGGAGCACAGCAGGGACACACGGGTGAGAACCAGGAGCACAGGGACACACGGGTGAGAACCAGGAGCACAGGGACACAAGGGTGAGAACCAGGAACACAGGGACACACGGGTGAGAACCAGGAGCACAGTACGGACACACGGGTGAGAACCAGGAAACAGGGACACACGGGCGAGAACCAGGAGCACAGGGACACACGGGTGAGAACCAGGAGCACAGGGACACACGGGTGAGAACCAGGAGCACAGGGACACACGGGTGAGAACCAGGAGCACAGGGACACACGGGTGAGAACCAGGAGCACAGGGACACACGGGTGAGAACCAGGAGCACAGGGACACAAGGGTGAGAACCAGGAACACAGGGACACACGGGTGAGAACCAGGAGCACAGCACGGACACACGGGTGAGAACCAGGAAACAGGGACACACGGGCGAGAACCAGGAGCACAGGGACACACGGGTGAGAACCAGGAGCACAGGGACACAAGGGTGAGAACCAGGAGCACAGCAGGGACCACACGGGTGAGAACCAGGAGCACAGGGACACACGGGTGAGAACCAGGAGCAAAGGGACACACGAGTGAGAACCAGGAGCACAGGGACACACGGGTGAGAACCAGGAGCACAGCACGGACACACGGGTGAGAACCAGGAGCACAGGGACACACGGGTGAGAACCAGGAGCACAGGGACACAAGGGTGAGAACCAGGAGCGCAGGGACACAAGGGTGAGAACCAGGAGCACAGGGACACACGGGTGAGAACCAGGAGCACAGCAGGGACACACGGGTGAGAACCAGGAGCACAGGGACACACGGGTGAGAACCAGGAGCACAGGGACACAAGGGTGAGAACCAGGAACACAGGGACACACGGGTGAGAACCAGGAGCACAGGGACACACGGGTGAGAACCAGGAGCACAGGGACACACGGGTGAGAACCAGGAACACAGGGACACACGGGTGAGAACCAGGAACACAGGGACACACGGGTGAGAACCAGGAGCACAGGGACACACGGGTGAGAACCAGGAGCACAGGGACACAAGGGTGAGAACCAGGAGCACAGGGACACAAGGGTGAGAACCAGGAACACAGGGACACACGGGTGAGAACCAGGAGCACAGCACGGACACACGGGTGAGAACCAGGAAACAGGGACACACGGGCGAGAACCAGGAGCACAGGGACACACGGGTGAGAACCAGGAGCACAGGGACACACGGGTGAGAACCAGGAGCACAGGGACACACGGGTGAGAACCAGGAGCACAGGGACACACGGGTGAGAACCAGGAGCACAGGGACACACGGGTGAGAACCAGGAGCACAGCAGGGACACACGGGTGAGAACCAGGAGCACAGGGACACACGGGTGAGAACCAGGAGCACAGGGACACAAGGGTGAGAACCAGGAACACAGGGACACACGGGTGAGAACCAGGAGCACAGCACGGACACACGGGTGAGAACCAGGAAACAGGGACACACGGGCGAGAACCAGGAGCACAGGGACACACGGGTGAGAACCAGGAGCACAGGGACACAAGGGTGAGAACCAGGAGCACAGCAGGGACACACGGGTGAGAACCAGGAGCACAGGGACACACGGGTGAGAACCAGGAGCACAGGGACACACGAGTGAGAACCAGGAGCACAGCAGGGACACACGGGTGAGAACCAGGAGCACAGGGACACACGGGTGAGAACCAGGAGCACAGGGACACAAGGGTGAGAACCAGGAACACAGGGACACACGGGTGAGAACCAGGAGCACAGCACGGACACACGGGTGAGAACCAGGAAACAGGGACACACGGGCGAGAACCAGGAGCACAGGGACACACGGGTGAGAACCAGGAGCACAGGGACACAAGGGTGAGAACCAGGAGCACAGCAGGGACACACGGGTGAGAACCAGGAGCACAGGGATACACGGGTGAGAACCAGGAGCACAGGGACACACGAGTGAGAACCAGGAGCACAGGGACACACGGGTGAGAACCAGGAGCACAGCACGGACACACGGGTGAGAACCAGGAGCACAGGGACACACGGGTGAGAACCAGGAGCACAGGGACACAAGGGTGAGAACCAGGAGCACAGGGACACAAGGGTGAGAACCAGGAGCACAGGGACACACGGGTGAGAACCAGGAGCACAGCAGGGACACACGGGTGAGAACCAGGAGCACAGGGACACACGGGTGAGAACCAGGAGCACAGGGACACAAGGGTGAGAACCAGGAACACAGGGACACACGGGTGAGAACCAGGAGCACAGGGACACACGGGTGAGAACCAGGAGCACAGGGACACACGGGTGAGAACCAGGAACACAGGGACACACGGGTGAGAACCAGGAACACAGGGACACACGGGTGAGAACCAGGAGCACAGGGACACACGGGTGAGAACCAGGAGCACAGGGACACAAGGGTGAGAACCAGGAGCACAGCAGGGACACACGGGTGAGAACCAGGAGCACAGGGACACACGGGTGAGAACCAGGAGCACAGGGACACACGAGTGAGAACCAGGAGCACAGGGACACACGAGTGAGAACCAGGAGCACAGCACGGACACACGGGTGAGAACCAGGAGCACAGGGACACACGGGTGAGAACCAGGAGCACAGGGACACAAGGGTGAGAACCAGGAGCGCAGGGACACAAGGGTGAGAACCAGGAGCACAGGGACACACGGGTGAGAACCAGGAGCACAGCAGGGACACACGGGTGAGAACCAGGAGCACAGGGACACACGGGTGAGAACCAGGAGCACAGGGACACAAGGGTGAGAACCAGGAACACAGGGACACACGGGTGAGAACCAGGAGCACAGGGACACACGGGTGAGAACCAGGAGCACAGGGACACACGGGTGAGAACCAGGAACACAGGGACACACGGGTGAGAACCAGGAACACAGGGACACACGGGTGAGAACCAGGAGCACAGGGACACACGGGTGAGAACCAGGAGCACAGGGGTACAGAGAGCAGAGAGAGACTAGAGAGAGGTGCTCCGCCCTGAAAGAGGGCTGTGATCTGTCTGTTCTGGAGGTTCTATATAAATCCAGACTCCTGAGCTCCCAGAATAATCAGTGAATCTTCTGGCCCTTGGAAAAGCCATGTTCCAGCTTCTTCCCTCTGGCAGATATCGTTCATTAAGATAGAGGACATCTGCTAACATTTGCTAACAGTTTCCTTCCACAAACTGTTTGAACAGAGCATTTTTGATGATCTTGCCTTTGTATTGAAAGTGTTTGTGTCGATGGATTTCACAGTGAATATTGTTTACTGTTTTGTTTGTTTTATTCCTGTAGTTTGAACCTTAGTTTTACTCCTGTACTGGTCTGGTGCACACTGGGGACTTTTTTTAAACAAATGTATTCCAAGGTGGTTTTACTGAAAATGGCAAATAAACTGAATCTGAAATCCATTTATTTTTCTCATGTCTTGAACTTGTTTTTGTCTGTTTCTGCAGTTTTTGTCTGTTCACAAAGTATTTAAATGATTGATTGAACAACTGTGAACTAAATGGATTTTTATCAAGTTTGAGACACGTTCTGACAAAAAGAATTGGACGATGTATTTTAACAAAAACATAAACATCGACCTACACCAAAGTATGGCTGTGACTGAATAGACTGCTATAACTTTGAACGGTTTGATTCTCTGATCTGTGTCTGCGAATCGACAGCTTTGCAAAGTCTCCAGAGATAACCACTGTTGTGATTTAGGGCGATACACAAATAAATAGAATTGAAATTGAACTTTTGAAGCCTGTGAGTTTGTTTTCCTTGTCTCTCTGCTTATTTATTCCAGTCAGGTTTCTCTCTTTCGCTCTGAGATGAGATGAGATGGAGGTTGGGACACTGCAGACCCCATGTGTGTGTGTGTTTGTGTATGTATGTGTGTGTGTGTGTACTTGGCTTTGTACCTGTTTGGGGACGGAGGCACACGGTCTGACGCATTAGGGGGCTTTGATGAGCTGCTGCTATTATCGAGAGGGCCACTCCTGAAAATGGACATGCAACACAGCAAACACAATGAGGACACGGAGACAGCGACGTGATTGGCTGCGAGACTGGACCAATGGGAGCCCCAGAGACAGCGTTGTGTGCGGAGTGTGGCATGCATGGGAAGATGTTCTGGGAAATGTGGTTTTTTAGTTTGTTTAAAGTGCGTGTTTGTGTCACAACAGCAGATATGATCAAAAGCGTGATCCATGTGTTAAATGCATCCACTATCACTTGAATGGCTGCTAGACTGGTGACTCACGCCCCCTGCTGGACAAACAGTGACACTGCAGCAAAGTTATATAGTGGGTTTTTGAGTCTGGGACAAATTATTACGTAGTTATTATTCAATGCCAAATAATTAAGTCCATTTATGTATTTGAATTATGTTCATGGGGTGAGAGTCTCTCTGGTCTCTCTCTGGTCTCTCTTTGGTCTCTCTCTCTGTTCTTTCTTTCTGGTCTCTCTTTCTGGTCTCTCTCTGGTCTCTCTCTCTCTCTATGATTTCTCTCTGGTCTCTCTTTGCTCTCTCTGTCTGGTTTCTCTCTCTGGTCTCTCTCTGGTCTCGCTCTCTGGTCTCTCTCTCTGGTTTCTCTCTCTGGTCTCGCTCTCTGGTCTCGCTCTCTGGTCTCGCTCTCTGGTCTCGCTCTCTGGTCTCGCTCTCTGGTCTCGCTCTCTGGTCTCGCTCTCTGGTCTCGCTCTCTGGTCTCGCTCTCTGGTCTCGCTTTCTGGTCTCGCTCTCTGGTCTCGCTCTCTGGTCTCGCTCTCTGGTCTCGCTCTCTGGTCTCGCTCTCTGGTCTCGCTCTCTGGTCTTGCTCTCTGGTCTCGCTCTCTGGTCTCACTCTCTATCTGGTCTCACTCTCTATCTGGTCTCACTCTCTATCTGGTCTCTCTCTCTCTCTGTGGTCTCTCTCTCTGCTCTCCCTCTTGTCCCTCTCTGGTCTCTTTCTTGGGCCTTTCTCTGGTCTCTCTCCCTGGCCTCTGCCTGGTCTCTCTCTGGTCTCTCTCTGGTCTCTCTCTGTTCTCTCTCTCTGGTCTCTCTCTGGTCTCTCTCTGTGTGACACATACAGAGTGTAGAAGCGTTTTGATGGTTGACAAATGGAAACATAAACTGTACAAATGTGAAGCACTGGGACAAGGAAAGCTTCTGATTCCTCAAATGCAATTATCTCTTTTTGTTTTACTTTTGTACTAATAGTAAAAATATTATTTAATCTACTTCCTGCTTTACACGTGCAACATCCTCCACTCGACATGTGAGGTATTTACAAGTATAGATATAGTTCCAGTTTCTGTTAAACTGCACTTTATATGATGAATTTAAAAACTCATGATGTTTTTATGTTCTTTTTCATACATCTGTAGAGCTATTAATTCAATTTATTTATGTTGCACAGCCCAAAATCACAGCAGCATCTCACTTTTTTTATTTGAGCAAAAACAGCTCTGAGATAATTACAGTTTAAAAAGTGATTGAAAGGTATTTTTGATGAGTGCTTTTGAGTTCCATTCTTTCTGTTGTGTTTGGGATTGGAACATATTTGGTGCTGATGTTTACTGGTCCTCACCTCCTCTGTCTGCTGTCCGTCTGTTGCCGCGGAGACAACACTTTGGTTTGAACTGAAGGAGACTGACCGTTCTGCAAACTGCTGTGGCTGAGAGAGCTGGACACACAAACAACACACAAACACACAGACACACACACGCAAAGAAATCAGTTAAATAATAGTGTGCATACATACATACATATTTACATATATACTTACATACATACATATATACTTACATACTTACATACATGCATACCTATATACTTACATAAATACTTACTTACATACATACACATACATACAAACATACATACACATATAAATAAATAGTGTATATGAGCAGACCTTCTGGCCGTCTTCATGCTGTCGTCTGCGGTGCTGATGTCACTGGTTCGGTCGAAGTCTCTGCGTCTGGATTCTTCACTGTTCTCTTTCTGTGGAGTTCAACATAAATATTTAGATATATAAATATAGAACATTAATTATTAATAAATCATATGTAACAGAACAATATTGTTAAACCATAAGTTAGTACGAAGTGTTTATGGTTAAATGCTGTTTTTCATGGTTCACTGTTTATCTATGTTATGACTTTGTGTACCTATTGTGTGTGTGTACCTATGTGTGTACATATGTGTATATCAGTGTGTACCTATGTGAGAACCAGTGTGTACCAGCGTATACCTATGTGTGTGTACCTGTGTGTGTAGCTCTGAGAGAGCGTCCAGCAGCACAGGACTCACAGGGCTCACAGGGGTCAGAGGGGTCAGAGTGGTCAGAGGGGTCAGAGGGGCGGTGGTCTCCTCCAGGATCCTCTGCTCCTGATGCGAGTGAAAGAATCAAACTTTTAACTTTCAATTCAATCCATTCACAAAACATCAGAAAATAACACACACTATTCATCTCCATGAACACATAATTACACACACAAGACACACTGGTACACACACTGTCCTGTGTTTGTACCAATGTGTCTGGTACACAGAGATACACAGGACACATTGGTACAAATACACACATTGGTACACACACAGAAGTACAGTTTGCTTGTAATAGTAGTAATAGTAATCTTTATTTATATACCGCCTTTTCACTGCAGATCTGAGTCTCAAAGCGGTTTACAATTGTTCATTTTGGGAATTTGAATAATGTAACCGGCCAGATCTCTGGTCTCAGTCTGGTCCCAGTCTGGTCTCCGTCTGGTCTCAGTCTGGTCCCACTCTGGTCTCAGTCTGGTCTCAGTCTGGTCTCAGTCTGGCCTCAGTCTGGTCTCAGTCTGGCCTCAGTCTGGTCCCAGTCTGGTCCCAGTCTGGTCTCAGTCTGGTATCAGTCTGGTCTCAGTCTGGTCCCAGTCTGGTCCCAGTCTGGTCTCAGTCTGGTCTCAGTCTGGTCTCAGTCTGGCCTCAGTCTGGTCCCAGTCTCGTACCTCCTGGTGGTACTTGCGCTCCTCCTCGACCACCTCCCTCTGAGCTCGCTCCCACTCCTGCCTCAGCTTTTCCTGCTCCACACGGTACTTCTCCTGAAGAACACAGAGACCATGAGAGGCAGGGATCATCAGAGACAGAGACCATCAAAGACAGGGACCATCATAGACAGGGACGTACCATCAAAGACACACCATGAGAGACAGGGACCATCAAAGACAGGGACCATCAAAGACAGGGACCATCAGAGACAGGGACCATCAGAGACAGAGACCATCAAAGACAGGGACCATCAGAGACAGAGACCATCAAAGACAGGGACCATCAAAGACAGGGACCATCAAAGACAGGGACCATCAAAGACAGGGACCATCAAAGACAGAGACCATCAGAGACAGAGACCATCAGAGACAGAGACCATCAGAGACAGAGACCATCAGAGACAGGGACCATCAGAGACAGGGACCATCAAAGACACACCATCAGAGACATACCACCAGAGACAGGGACCATCAAAGACAGGAACCATCAGAGACAGGGACCATCAGAGACAGAGATGAGATCACAGACACACACACAGACAGATACATGCCCATACACACACGTGGGCAGCAGTAGTAGTAGTAGTAGTAGTAGAATGTGCAGTACGACACTGCCCTCTAGAGGCCAGAGAGTGCACACACTGCTAACCGCTGCAAGTAAGCAGTGTATGTAAAAGGGACTTTTGCTATGTATATTCTTTACATTATGAAGGAATTTTTAAATAAATGATTTGTTTCACATGAGTTAAATTGGAAATTCCTTTTTCGGAACAAAATGAGTTACTGTGGATTTAACCAAAATGGATTTAATGTTAAGAAGAGATTTGTCATTAAATTTTTGGAATATATTTAACAATATAACTTCTATTTACATTTCTGAATATATTAGATATTATGGTAGATTTAAGAATAGGTATAACGTGCCATTGTAGCTTATCACCATCAATGCTGCAACTTAATAGAATCATTTAAAATCCTTTTAGGGGCCGCTGGAAATGGTCTGGCGGCCGGATTTGGCCCATGGTCCTGAGTTTGACCTGGTTTAGGGTAAATATTCTAGAATAGTCTGTGGTCTCCTCCTCCTGCTCAGTGAACCATGTGTGCTCTGTACCTGCAGCATCTGCTCCTGCTCCTCCTGCCACCTCCGCTGACGCTGTTGCTCCTCCTCCTGGTCCCAGGACCAGCGGGACGGTCCTGAACCAGACACCTACAGACCACACGCACAGACGGGTCATGGTCCACATCCAAACACACAAATCACAGAGTCTACCACAGAAGCACAGGCACAGAGAGGAGACAGAGAAAGAAGGGAAACAGTGCCATCTGCTGGTAGGTTACAGAACAGCAGCTGAGAGGGAAGGCAATGCTTAATGACAACAACAACAACGATGAAACCAGTGAGTCTCCTGATGTTATTACAACAAATCCTCCTTTATCGTATGTTTAGCAATTTCTGTGCCCTTTACAAAAGTCTGACCTTGATCCCATTGCGTCACAGCGCCCCCCACAGGCCTGTCATAGTTTTTCATTTACTGACATTTACTGATTTTCTGAATCAGTTTTGACTTGGTGTGGGTGTGGCCTATAGCAGCAGCATCAAGTCCGTTTTAATGTACCTTTGTTTTTCATAAATATAACTGTGGTTATGGTCAAACGTGTGATCAAATCAAACCCCAACACTTTCTTCATCTTACTAGAGAACATTTTATCTTTTGCAAATATGTATGAAAGAGCCAGATGAGTCACTTTTGGACTATTTGGGCTGAGAGATGAAGAGCTGATTGGCTGAGGGAGGGTGGTCTCTACAAAGCTGATCTTAAGATGTTACCGAAAACTAGAGATAACACAACTGGGAGCTTTTGTGTGTAGCTTTGTACAGATCTCGAGGTTGTGTGTTTGCGTGTGTGTGTGTGTTGAGAAGAAAAACACAAATGGACTCACATTTCCGCAGAGATCCTTCCTGGTCTCATCTGTGGAGAAGGAGCGAAAACAAAACAGTTTCAACAACGCAAATATCATTATAGGAACTTCTTTGAGCAGACACATGGAGACAATGGAACAGTCAGCCTGTAGAACGAACAGTTACCACACAGTCTGTTTCATGAGAAGCCAAAGCAACAGAAGATGAAAACTGGACGTGTGGCGTGTGCGGTGAGGGCGGCGGACGGTTTCACACGGGTCTGGAATCGGGATAAAGAGCGGTACCTGAGTGAGCGAAGAACTCCCAGCGTAACTTTGGGGCGCTACTGGACAGAGAGGCGCTCACACTGTTTGTCAGGTCTGGGCAGATGTGGGGGGTGTGGGGGAGGTGGGGGTGAATGAGGGAGGGCAGAGGATCGGAGCCATAAGGGACCAATGGGGAGACAATCATTATGTTAGTCTAATTAGTTTATTATTGATGAGAAAATGGGCGTGAAATTAATACATTTTGTCTCATTTGTTGAGCTTTGATTATGGTATTAAACGAGTGGGCTGCACCCCCTCCCCCACCTGGAACTATCAGTCCTGGATCTACAGCCTCAGTCCTGGATCTACAGCCTCAGTCCTGGATCTACAGCCTCAGTCCTGGATCTACAGCCTCAGTCCTGGATCTACAGCCTCAGTCCTGGGTCTACAGCCTCAGTCCTGGGTCTACAGCCTCAGTCCTGGGTCTACAGCCTCAGTTCTGGGTCTACAACCTCAGTCCTGGATCTACAGCCTCAGTCCTGGGTCTACAGCCTCAGTCCTGGATCTACAGCCTCAGTCCTGGATCTACAGCCTTAGTCCTGGATCTACAGCCTCAGTCCTGGGTCTACAACCTCAGTCCTGGGTCTACAGCCTCAGTCCTGGATCTACAGCCTCAGTTCTGGGTCTACAGCCTCAGTCCTGGGTCTACAGCCTCAGTCCTGGGTCTACAACCTCAGTCCTGGATATACAGTCTCAGTCCTGGGTCTACAGCCTCAGTCCTGGATCTACAGCCTCAGTCCTGGGTCTACAGCCTCAGTCCTGGGTCTACAGCCTCAGTCCTGGATCTACAGACTCAGTCCTGGATCTACAGCCTCAGTCCTGGATCTACAGCCTCAGTCCTGGGTCTACAGCCTCAGTCCTGGATCTACAGCCTCAGTCCTGGATCTACAGCCTCAGTCCTGGATCTACAGCCTCAGTCCTGGATCTACAGCCTTAGTCCTGGATCTACAGCCTCAGTCCTGGATCTACAGCCTCAGTCCTGGGTCTACAGCCTCAGTCCTGGGTCTACAGCCTCAGTCCTGGGTCTACAGCCTCAGTCTTGGGTCTACAACCTCAGTCCTGGATCTACAGTCTCAGTCCTGGGTCTACAGCCTCAGTCCTGGATCTACAGCCTCAGTCCTGGGTCTACAGCCTCAGTCCTGGATCTACAGCCTCAGTGCTGGGTCTACAGCCTCAGTCCTGGATCTACAGCCTCAGTCCTGGGTCTACAGCCTCAGTCCTGGGTCTACAGCCTCAGTCCTGGGTCTACAGCCTCAGTCTTGGGTCTACAACCTCAGTCCTGGATATACAGTCTCAGTCCTGGGTCTACAGCCTCAGTCCTGGATCCACAGCCTCAGTCCTGGATCTACAGCCTCAGTCCTGGGTCTACAGCCTCAGTCCTGGGTCTACAGCCTCAGTCCTGGGTCTACAGCCTCAGTCTTGGGTCTACAACCTCAGTCCTGGATATACAGTCTCAGTCCTGGGTCTACAGCCTCAGTCCTGGATCTACAGCCTCAGTCCTGGGTCTACAGCCTCAGTCCTGGATCTACAGCCTCAGTGCTGGGTCTACAGCCTCAGTCCTGGATCTACAGCCTCAGTCCTGGGTCTACAGCCTCAGTCCTGGGTCTACAGCCTCAGTCCTGGGTCTACAGCCTCAGTCTTGGGTCTACAACCTCAGTCCTGGATATACAGTCTCAGTCCTGGGTCTACAGCCTCAGTCCTGGATCTACAGCCTCAGTCCTGGGTCTACAGCCTCAGTCCTGGATCTACAGCCTCAGTCCTGGATCTACAGCCTCAGTCCTGGATCTACAGCCTCAGTGCTGGGTCTACAGCCTCAGTCCTGGGTCTACAGCCTCAGTCCATGGGAGCGGATCCTTCCCTCAGTGTGGGTATACCTGAGGTTTTTCACTTTTCTCCCACTGTGTTTTTAGAGTAGTTCCTCTGATGCAGGAGGCTCTAAGAACAGAGATGATCCAGGACTCTCCAAATTCAACCACATTTATGGACATTGGTCTCTGCTCCGTACGGACCAATGTCTCTACTGTTGTGATTTAGGGAAATACACAAATACATTAAATTGAATTGAGTCACCTCCCTCCCCTTTGGCAGAGCTGCATCTAAAACCACCCGGTGACATCAAACTAGTTAAATAATCTTGCATAAACCCCCAGTTTCAAGCAAAAATGTGCTTTTATTCTGCTGTAATGTGCAACTATGACATTGACATTTCCACTGAGGCACAAATCCAGGTTTATTTAAGTTTATTTAAGAGCTGTGATATAAGAAAGAAAAGGGTTTGTGCAAAATGCTGCAGAGAAAGAGCCAGATTCACAAGACAAAGCCACGAACTGCGTCATCGTCGTGTTTTTACCTGAGGCTGCGTCTGAGGACGACCTCCCGATCCACACGGGGGCAGACTCTGTCCTCCACTCCTGAAACACAAACACTCAGTTACTCTCTGAAAATCACCAGAATAGATACTTTTCACACATTATGTGTTAAGTGTTAAAAAAAGAAAAGAAAACATTGCATATTTTAAAAGTTAAGATTCTATTTTTTCTGGTTGTTAAATGCAGCTGATGAAGAGCTTTGACTAGTTTTACTAAAATAAACAACAAATAATGAAATAAGTAAATGTCTAATTTATTTAAAATGGATTGATATACATTCATTTACAATAAATATAAAAACAATAAGTCAAGTAAATAAAAGTATTCAAAGTATTCGGAAATCAGGTACTGCTTTTTCTAAATTAACGGAAAACTATACAAAATACATGGTAGGTCATGTATTCGGTATCTGGAACGGAATACCTTTTCAAAGTATTTTACCCACTCACATCAGCATTTTCCAGTGAATTATCCATTACTCTCTTGCTAAGTTACTGCTAATAATACAAAAGTAAAAATGAATAAACAAATAAACCAGTTAGACTAAACTGACAAATAAATGTTCATTTTAAAACCCCACCATCCCATAATCCTCAGCAGTGACAGTGAAGTGCTCTCTCACCTGTGACTCTGGTCTGGACGACTCTGCAAAACTGGGATCTGGTTTGGCGTCTGGACCAATGCAACATCATTTCAATCAAAACAGAATAAAATCTATTAGTTTTTGTTTTGGAAATGCAGCATAATAACACACAGGAACAGATTCACCTGAGAGAGACGTACTCCAGCTTTCTTCTTGTTTCTGCAACTCCTGAAACGAAAACTAAAATATGAACCATCCTTGGAGTCTCTGGATCTACAGCCTCAGTCCTGGGTCTACAGCCTCAGTCCTGGATCTACAGCCTCAGTCCTGGATCTACAGCCTCAGTCCTGGATCTACAGCCTCAGTCCTGGATCTACAGCCTCAGTCCTGGATCTACAGCCTCAGTCCTGGATCTACAGCCTCAGTCCTGGATCTACAGCATCAGTCCTGGATCTACAGCCTCAGTCCTGGATCCACAGCCTCAGTCCTAGATCTACAGCATCAGTCCTGGATCTACAGCCTCAGTCCTGGATCCACAGCCTCAGTCCTGGATCTACAGCCTCAGTCCTGGATCTACAGCATCAGTCCTGGATCTACAGCCTCAGTCCTGGATCTACAGCCTCAGTCCTGGATCCACAGCCTCAGTCCTGGATCTACAGCCTCAGTCCTGGATCTACAGCATCAGTCCTGGATCTACAGCCTCAGTCCTGGATCCACAGCCTCAGTCCTAGATCTACAGCATCAGTCCTGGATCTACAGCCTCAGTCCTGGATCCACAGCCTCAGTCCTGGATCTACAGCCTCAGTCCTGGATCTACAGCATCAGTCCTGGATCTACAGCCTCAGTCCTGGATCTACAGCCTCAGTCCTGGATCTACAGCCTCAGTCCTGGATCTACAGCCTCAGTCCTGGATCCACAGCCTCAGTCCTGGATCTACAGCCTCAGTCCTGGATCTACAGCCTCAGTCCTGGATCTACAGCCTCAGTCCTGGGTCTACAGGACCATAGAGTCTTATCTAACGCGTGATACTCACAGTTGGGAGTGAACTTGGATGACTCGGCTGCTCTGACTCCTCACTGGTTTTGTGATTTGGCTCCCCCTGGTGGTTGGTGAGCACTGGGCTGTGAAACTCTGGTGTGAGGGGGGTGATGGGGGTGAGGGGGGAGCTCCCAGGGCTGAAGGGGGAGGTGGGAGTCCAGGGCTGGAACACCGGAGAGTCCAGGGAGCTGTCGGGAGTGCAAGGCAGACCGTCACTGGCCCCGTTCACTCGCAGGAGGCCGTCCGTCTGAAACAACCAGGACATTGACATCAGAACTCACAGAGCAGTCAGTTTGACGGCTTTGGAAGTGTCGTTACTCGTCTCACGTGCATCTTGGTCTTCATAACCCTGTGACTTTTCTCTTTCTTTACTTAGTTTAGTTCTATATCAATATTTTTTATGAAATTATGTTTTACTTTTGAAATGTGAGGAGTTTTACCATTAACTCATTTTCCACCAGAGAAAATCGTGAGTTAGTCACCGTAGCGACACACTGTTTAATGTCACCATAGCAACACACTGTTTACTGTCAGTTAGCATTAGCCTTTGTTGCTGCTGTGCTTCAGTTGCTGTTATAATGACCCGTTTTAGCGCTTATCAAAAGTGAGTAAAGACCTCAATAAATGTCTTGCTTTTGATGAATCTGGTGAAAAACTAAACATTCTTCGGTTTGAACGGGAGCAGTCAAAATGAAGAACTTTTGTTGAATTAATGCACAACAACAAAGCGTCGCAACACCTTGTGGATGTAAAACGCAAATTTAAATAACCAGAGTAAACGCAGAGAAAACACAAATATAAAACAGATGCTCTACAGCACAGGTGTCAAAGTCAAGGCCCGGGGGCCAGATCCGGCCCGCGAGACCATTTCCAGTGGCCCCTGAGATGATTTTAAATTATTATATTAAATAGCAGCATTGACGGTATTAGGAGACAATGGCATGTTATCCATTACTAATTTTCTCAAGAATACCATAAATTTAATTCCTTAAGAAATGTTAAGCCAACGTGTAATTAGAAGTTAGTTGTCATGCTATGTTTTTACATTTCAAGGAGGATTTCCCAATTTGTTAGTAAAAAAACGCCCTCTCCACTTTTTGAACAAAACTCTCTGGTCTTATTTGACGAGCACGAATCACCAGAATGATTGACAGTTGGGAGAACCAATAGTCTGATGATCCACCCGGAAGTAGAAAATCTTCACATTAACCTTCAATATTTGGTCCAGTTTTGGTCCAGTCCACAGGAACTGAACTAAATCTATTCAGAAAAGAATATCCAGTCTAACTAATGTGAAACAAGTCATTTATATAGATACTTTTCATATAAAAAGTATAAAAAATGAAACCCACTTCTTCTTTCGGCCCCTGAACGGCCCTTTAATTTTTTTCCGGTGAATTTGTTTTGTGTGAATGAAGCTAAAATTGTGTGTGTACAGTGACAGTGTTGTATAAAGTATAAAAACAGATTTAGCTCAAACCCAAACCCTTTGCACTAAAGCCGAGAATGAGATTTAAAAAAGCAGACGATGAAGGAGCTCAATGATCACAGATGACCTCAGAGCTCATCTGTGATCATTGCTCTGCTCCTCTGTCTCCATTCTCTGCCTTTATCCCAGACTCCACACATGACCACAAAGACCCCGAACCTAAACACTGCAGCCGCCTTTAACTTAACCCCCCCCCCCCAACCCCAGACACCCCACTCCCCATCCCGCCCCCCGCTGTCTGTGTGGGCCGTCTTTGTGCGGCCCTTGCCCACTTCTCTTTGAGAGCGCTGCACTCGTCAGCTTCTTAAGTCGAGAGAGAACAGAACGAGACCAGAGCGGGAACAGAGGGCTCCTTTGAGGAAGCCGGAGCTCCTCTCAAAATCCTCTCGGGGAATTCCCAAAACTACGGTTCACTCTCTCTCTTCTTCTGCTCTTTAGGAAACCAAGCAGCTCTTCACTGATTCTCGTTTTAGACCTGGGATTGCTCTCGTTTTGGATTTGGTTTGGATCCATGTAAATAATCCATCTAACTCACTCTCAAAACAGTTTGGTTCTGTCTTTAGAAAAGCTTTAGCAGGGGGGTAAATTGGCCCAGATTTTTGATACTGGTATTGTTACATCCCTTATATTTATCATCAGTATTATTGTAAATGTGGACAGATACATTTGCACAGTAATAGCTGGTTCCTAGTGTGCCTCTGCTCTCTATAATATACTTAGACCTGATAATTGGCCTGTTCCATCCCACAACCTACTAAGAAATGTTTGTTCAAATGTTCCACTCAGTAAAAGGAAGCAGCCTGTGGAGAGATCTCAGGGGTAAAATTAAGAGGAAGTCTCATGTCCCAGGACTAGTGTCCATGGTGCAGAGGACTAGTGTCCATGGTGCAGAGGACTAGTGTCCATGGTGCAGAGGACTAGTGTCCATGGTGCAGAGACTGTTTGAGTGTATATGTGATGGAGAGGAGAGGATTACCCCCTCGGCCCCTGAGGAGTCTGTCCCAGAGAAACACCTCCATAGGCTGCAGTGTAATAGAGGCTTATCAATGTCGCTATATATTGTCAAATTTTGAGTTAGATTTAGAAATTTAGAATAATACTGTGCAAGAAAACTGTCAGTCTCTGTGTCCCAGAGCCCCATGCTGCTAATGTACAGATGTAAACATACTTTATATTTATGCACTAGAATATGCAGAATTAATACTTCTTTTACTTTCTTTTTACATCTTTATTATGCTAAAGCTAGAGATTTTTCATTGCTCTCAGTTACTACAATCTGCATTTATAGAAGTTTTATTTTCTGAAACACAGGCAGTGCTCTGCGAAAATCGCTAACAACCCTTGAATCTAAAATATTTTGCGGCAGAATCTCATTTTTATCCATAGTCCCATGGCAGGTTGATATCATTTATTTATTTTATTTTATTTATTAGTTTATTTGAATAGGGACAATACACATTAATCAACATTTCTGTAAACGTGTCAGTATTAGCTAACAGCGAGTTTCCAACTGTAGTCCCTCGGCAAGGTGTAAAATGTCATCAAAGTCAGTCAAGACAATACATACAACAGGCACAAACACACAGAAACACACCATCACAAAGACAACACAACAGGGTATTTGTGATGCAGATGAAAAGTGACTCTGACATTGACCCAGTGTGACTCTCACCTTGCCGCCACCGCTGCCGCCGCTCCATGAGTCGGTGGAGCTGCTGTAAGGCCTGGGCGTCAGTAAAGGCACCGCTTTAGGACACAGCGCTCTGGAGGCGGGAGGTTCTGACGACCGCGACCGGATCTGAGGCACGTGAGTTGCGCGCTCCGTGGGGTACTCCTCCACGCGCGCCTCCTCCACGCGCGCCTCCAACGTGGACGTGAACCTGGGCGAGGGGGCCGACTGTTGCCGCAGGTAACGTAGTGGCCCCGTGTGGTCTGGGGCCTCTGTGGGGGACAGGGACAGGGACAGGGGGAAGGGGCAGCCGGGGTCCGAGGACACGTCCAGCAGTTTGGGCAGCTGCAGGCGCTCCAGGATGGCCTCGCTGATGGAGAAGCGCTGGGCGTACCGCTGCAGGATGGACGACGCCTCCTCCTGAGAGCGGGCGCTTTTGTAGGCCACACGCAGCTCCTCCTCTCGCCGCTCTCTGACAACAAACACACTCACGACTTAATAATAATCATTTAAAGGTTTGTTATACAGCACTTTTCAGGACATTCAAAGTCTCCTCACATGTCATTATTCATTCACTTCAAACACAGTGGTGATAAATTACTACTGAAGCCACAGCTGCCTTAGGGCACACTGACAGAAGCGAGGCAACCCACCACTAATCATACACACACCAAGGTCTCGTCTCAAATCTCGAGGAGACCAGGTCTTTTCTTGGAAAAGTGACCTTTGTACATTAGAGAAACTCCTTCATTGTAAGTAAAAAAAAATAATCTAGTCCAAAATTTTTACGGCTTTTAACACCAATTGAGTTTTACCATTTTACTTTTACACATATGTATTTTATCTTATGTGCCTGTGAAGCACATGGAGCAGCTGGTGTTGTTGTAAATGTGTATATACGGTAAATAAAGCTGACGTTGACATTGACACACACACCAACCAGATTCATTCTAATGTGGATGCCTAAGGACACAACCACAGTTTGGCACTTTCCCAGAGGTCTCCCATCACAGTACTACCCATGCCCTGCGCTGCTTAGCTTCAGAGGTCTTTGACGGGATCTGGCTTTTACCTGCAGTTGGCCACTCGCTACTCGTAAAATGGCTTCCCTGGTTTAGTTCTTCAGGTGTGCTCCAATGTTAAAAGCGCTACTGACTTTAGCACACACACAGCCCGACGTTAGCTTAGCACTCACTAATTAACAGCTAATTAAGTGCTTAATCTAATCATGCATCAAATGGCTTAAGTATGAATTGTGCTAATCATTCCTTCGCCATTGTGATGTCTTGTTTCTCGGCTGCTACCCTCGTTCATATGTTTCTTATGTAAAGGTGCACTTTATGAATCCTCGCAGAGCATTTTGACCCTGATGCCGCTAAGGCTCACGTCAGGACCAGTAGTCGCCGTAGTAACAGCGCCCGGGAGACCATCTCCAGGAATTGATGCTCGGCTTGGTATGGACTACCCGAGCTGGAGGATTTGACCTATTGCGCATATTTTAGAGGTAGGGGAAACCGGAGCACCTGGAGGAAACCTACGCAGGCACGGGGAGAACATGCAAACTCTCTGTTCCGGTGTGCTAACCACTCAGCCAGTTACCAAACAGTCTAATACTGTTTGGTGCTGCATCCTCACTTGTCTTCCACGATCTCGCGGTAGGTCTTGATGCTGCGGCGGCGGTGGGGCACGACCGTCTCTCCGGTCAGAAGCTGCTCCATCTGCTTCCGCTCCTCCTCCTTCTTGATCAGGTCCTGAGAGACGCTCCTCCTGCGGTTCTTCCACCGCGCCAGGTCCTACAACACAAACTGATTTAGAGAGGGATGTTGCCTCTCAATGTCCTGGTTGGTTTCAAAATATGTTTAGATTTCCCCCCAAACCGGTCCTACGAGTACTGTACAGCCTGTTATTTATTTTTGCTTTTTCACACATATTATATTTTTGAATTGATTTCCCATCCATCCATCCATATTCTTCCCCTTAATCCATTTCTGGGTTGGGGAGGTGGCAGTCAGAGCTGTACCCAATCCACAGAGCACCAGCCCCTCACTGATCCTCCTGCAGGGGCTGAGTCCACAGGCTTCTCCATCAGTGACAACACAGCCTGTATCTTTCAGTGGATGCTTCAAAATGGGGACACAACAGCAGCAGCATACATCAGTGGGAGTCTATGGAGAGGGACTCGTGATGGGCTCAAACCCAGGATCTCCGGGCTCAACGGCCAAAGCTCTACCAACTGAGCCACTGCATTATATACAGTATTTCTTTAGGGAGATGTTTCGACCAATTCAAATGTAATTAAGTACATTTAATAACAGAAATAATTGGTTACTACACTGTCAATCATTATTCTCAGCCCCAACCACTTCATGAGCTTATGTGCTGTGGATTGCCGAGTCCGGTTAGCGGCGAAAATAGCGCAACATAAGACTGGTCAAAAGACAGGAGAGGATCAAAAGAAAAATAGAGTAGCCCAGTGGAGAGGTGGGACTTCTGGTGAAATCACTTTAGATTAGCCCTCAATAATTAACAGCTAATTAAGTGCTAATTTAGTGTACTCTAACTCTAACCCTAACCTGGGAAAGTGTCAGTTTGTAGTTAATCACTGACTCTTCTGGCTCCTGGAAAAGCCATGTTCCAGCTTCTTCCCTCTAGCAGAAGATGTCGTTGGCTGCAGGACATCTGGATATGCTAACATGCTAACAGTTTCTTTCAGCTGTTAGCATTTAGCATTGAAGCTGTTTTTGTCGATTGATTTAACAGCAAGGATAGTTTCTGTACTTTTTTATAGCTTGTTTTTATTTCTGCGCTTGTCTGGTGCACACTGGTGACTCTTGCACAGTTACTCCAATGTGGTTTTACTGCAAATGGCAAAGAATCCGAATACGAATGTGGTTTAAGCTCTCAGACGAGCAAAGCCTCCTCCTCAGAACTCCTGGGACACTACGTTACCCAGGATGCACAGCGGTGTAGAGAAAAGTGGCTCACGTCCTGCCAGTGGCTCTCGTCCTCCTTCAGGATGTTGTACTGGTTGTGCATGAGCTCGTGTCGGCTCTGGCTGTGGGGGTCCTCTCCGTCTCGCATGTCAATCAGACTCACACTCCTGCACCACAAGAAAGAGGACGTAGAGTTAGTAAGAGTTTACAGAGAGTTTACATAGAGTTTACGTAGAATTTACATAGTTTTCGTAGAGTTTACGTGCACATTACAACATAGACTTGAACTTGTGATGCTGGGAATGGCAGGAGAAGGATCAGCAAAGCAATACAAACTTCACTAGAACTACCGGAGCAGTCAATTTGACGGCTTTTAGTGGCATGCAAAGGTTTGGGCACCCGTCGGGTTTCTCACTGTTCTCTCTCTCTGGTCTCTCTCTGGTCTCTCTCTCTTGTTGCTCTCTGGTCTCTCTTTCTGGTCTCTCTCTGTTCTCTCTCTGGTCGTTCTCTGGTCTCTCTCTAATCTCTCTCTGGTCTCTCTTTCTGGTTTCTCGCTGTTCTCTCTCTCTGGTCTCTCTCTCTTGTTGCTTTCTGATCTCTCTTTCTAGCCTCTCTCTGGTCTCTCTCTGGTGTATCTCTCCACGTTCCCTCTCTCTGGTCTCTCTTTCTTGTTTCTCTCTGTTCTGGTTCTTTCTCGTTTCTCGCTGTTCTCTCTTTCTGGTCTCTCTGTTCTCTCTCTGGTCTCTCTTTCTAGTTTATCTCTGTTCTCTCTCTCTGGTTTCTCGCTGTTCTCTCTCTCTGGTCTCTCTCTTGTCTCTTTCTGGTCTCTCTCTGTTCTCTCTCTGGTCTCTACTGGTTTTTTTCTCCGGCAGAATGTGTGCCTTAAACTTAAATTAAGGCCAAACTTACATATTCAATTGGCAAATAAAAAATAACTCTAAATCAACAATTATAGAGAGAATTTAAACTAAAGTATGATCAATTGGCAAAATTCAATTCTAAAGTTCTGCTCTAGAATCTCGACACAAGATGGCAGACTTTCCACAGTCCTCAGATACTAAAGTGCAGCGTCATTGACTCACTGGATGTATTTCAGCAGAGTCACAGACAACAGACGGATGCAGGGCAGACATAGCAGCAGAATCTTTGGTCAAAACCAGAGGCAGAGAAATGGTATTGAATGGTCTATGAAACTACTTTGGTCACAAAGTGGGTTCAAAGCCGGTGTTACCGCTGGGGCAGTGGATAGCACTCGTTCTCACAGCAAGAAGGTCTTGGAGGAAAAGTGATTGTGGCTCTCCCTCTGGTCTCTCTCTGGTGTCTTTCTGGTCTGTCTCTGGTCTCTCTCTGTTCTCTCTCTGGTCTGTCTCTGGTCTCTCTCTGTTCTCTCTCTGGTCTGTCTCTGGTCTCTCTCTGTTCTCTCTCTGGTCTGTCTCTGGTCTCTCTCTGGTCTCTCTCTGGTCTCTCTCTGGTCTCTCTCTGGTCTCTCTCTGGTCTCTCTCTGGTCTCTCTCTGGTCTCTCTCTAGTCTCTCTCTGGTCTCTCTCTGGCCTCTCTCTGGTATCTCTCTGGTCTCTCTCTGGTCTCTCTCTGGTGCGGTGAAGGGTTTTACAGCCTTAAAACATAAAGCTGTTATTTCAAGGATCTCACCTCTTGGCTTCACACTGAAGATCTTTCTCATTTATGATATGCCTTCATCTCAAACCACTTTAAAGTTATGGCCTTTTGAAAACTTGTTGTCAAAATGTAAAATGTTATTGAAAAAACTAGGTATGGACTGATACTACAGTAACCAATATCTGTGCAAACATTTGAAAACTACATCAGAAAAAAGGTCTGTTGGGGTAAACTTCCATAGAATTCCCGGTGGATCTTTTAATATTCTGTAAAATTGTAGTTCAAAGTTTTGGATTGTTGCAGTAATGTAGAGCTCAGCAAAAGTTGTTGTTCCCATTCTTTGGCAGTAGCTTTACTCACAATCCAAAACAACGGCGGTGATAAAACTACTACCGCAAAGCATTATGGTATTGCTCAAGCAGTACCCAGTGAAATACAAAAATAAATCAAAGAGCGATGAATGTGATTAAGCAAAGAAAAGAGATTTGAGCCAATGAAGCGTTTTCTTATCCAAGCCTCATGCAGCATCAGTCCTTATTCAAGCCAAAGTCTCACGTTGTCGGAACATCTGTGTCCAACCAGGCGGCGGCTCCCGGGGGGTCGTTGCTTTCGCTCAGAGCCCTATTTTTACCGCGTCCTGGTTCAGCCGCCGGACAGGAGGCCAGGGAGGAGGCCAGGGAGGCGGGCACAGACAGGCTGCAGCCGGGGAGGAGCTGGTCCTTCACGGACACGGGGCCGTCACTCGGGTCGCTGAGTTTAGAGGGACAGTGTCCAGACCGAGTGAAGAGTTCCTCGGAGCTGGCACGAGCTGAAGAACTGGAGAAGGCAGCAGAGCAAAGACGGACCATCTTCAGAAGGTCATGTGACAGTTTAGACTTAAGAGAATAGAGTTTTTAGATTAAGTATTTCCTTGTTTGAAAGTTTGGAAACATTTAAAATCCAAGCAAACGAAAGAAATGCATCTTTTTCACAATAGTTAAAGAGTAAAATCACTAGGGTAAAAAAACAAGCACTTTAAACATGACGAATACATATACACTGTACATATCATGCATAAATATTAATAATAATAATGCATTAGTTTTATACAGCGCTTTTCCGGACACTCAAAGGCCCTGTCCACACGAAGTCAAGCTCAGGCCTAAACGCAAAAATACTTTATCAATCCAGTGTGTCGTCCATACGAGGCCGGCGTTTTGGGGGGGTGTAAACGAAAATTTGTGAAAGTAGGTCCCAGAGTGGAAAGATTTCAAAACCCCGTATATGCCGCTCCGTGGTTACTGCCTCTCCGCAATGTATCTGAAACGCTTGCGTCATCGCCCCGCCTCTTGTTAAAGCACGCATGCGCCGCACTCAGAATATAATGACAACAACAATGTAGCTTGTTGGTTTTGTAATCCAGTGCGACCCGAAGCAACAGTTCAACCTCATCGTCCGTCCATACTAATGTAGTACCAGCTCGCCCACTCGCCATGTTGTCTGTTTACAAAATTCTGCACATGCCCAGTTCCCGTCACGGAAGTTTGGGCTTGATCCCGTCATTGCGTCACAGCGCCACCAACAGGTCTGGCATAGTTTCACAACGTTTTCAGGCGTATTGACTACATTCATATGGACGCACACATTTACTGAGCTAACTCCGTGTTTACAGAAAAAGTTTCTGAAATTATAAGCGTTTTGTCTTCGTGTGGATATAGCCAAAGACTCTTCACATCATTCTTTCACTCAAAACACAGTGGTAATAAACTACTGTAGCCACAGCTGCCCTGGGGCACACTGACAGAAGCGAGGCAACCAGTCAGTGTCATCAGCCCCTCCCACCACCACCAACCATTCACACACACACCTGACTCATTCTAATGTGGGTAAAGTGTCTTGCCTAAGGACACAACCACAATTTGGCACTTTACAGTCTCAGCCACCCCACTGTGGCACCTGTTGCTCCCAGAGGTCTCTCATCACAATACTAACCAGGCACTGCCCAACTTAGCTTCAGAGGTTTGGTTTTCACCAAGGTTTGGCTACAATCCATGTTGTGAAGTCGCTAATAAACCAACATCATGATTTCACAACATGGATTACTTTGGAATGTGAGACAGAAGAAGCCTGTCTTACATTTTCAAGAAGACTGTTCCAGATTTTACCATGAATCTGAAATGCTTGTCCATGTCCTGACTCTGGGCAGCAGCAGGAGGCCAGTCCCTGTGCTCCTCAGAGTTGGTTCATATGGCACTAACATGTCACAGATGGACTTTGGTTCGAGGCCATGGAGAGACTTGTAACAAACAGAGCTGAATTTTAGACTCTATTCTCTGAGCCACAGGTGCAGAAACCTGAGACCAGGACTAATGTGATGGGACTTCCTGGTTCTAGTCCGGACTTAAGCATTTGAGGACGCTAAGAAGTAATTATCCAATATAGGTTTGCCGTATCTATCCATCTATCTTTAATATAAGGAACTTCAAGGTTTTTTAAGCTGCAACACTCCATTTGATGTCAGGATATAAGTTTGCATTTCTGCCAATGCTGCAGACCACATACTTATACTTCAGTGAGTGCAGGTTGCTATGGAAACATTGCAGCAAGAACACTTCCTCAGAGCTGTTGGCTAAAAGTGTGTTATTACAGTGCTATAAATCCTCACAGACAGTTCAGACACACAGGAGGACAGGAGCTGGAGGGGTTTGTACCGGGGGGGGGGCAGTGGAGTTTGTACCAGGGGTCAGACATGTCATGGTGTGGATTTAATTTTATTTTGACATTAGTTCTCCGTGGTTATGTTTTAGTTTCACTTCCTGTTTCTGTTTTGATTGTCTGCCCCGCCCCCTTTTGTTTCACCTGTGTCCCTCTGTGTCTATATGTACCTGTGCTCCTCTCCCCTTGTTCCTGGTCCATTGTCTTTGCTTGTCTTTTTTTGCCTGTTTTCCGGGTTCCCGTGTTTAGGTTTGGTAGTTTTTTACCTGGACGTTTATTTATTATCAATCAAAGTTTATTTGTAGAGCGCCTTTCATACACAGGGCAACACAAAGCGCTTCACAGTCCACATCACAAATCATCACATAAAACAAACACCAGAATCACAATTAAAACATTAAAATCACACAAAAGATTAAAACACAATTAAAACATTAAAATCACACAAAAGATTAAAACACAATTAAAACATTAAAATCACACAAAAGAATAAAACCATTAAAACTTTCAAAATTACACAAGAAATTTAAAAAAATAAATAAATAAATGACAACAGTGCATTAGAAATGGAGATAAAATCCTTCAGTTGTATGCACAGGCAAACAGAACAGTCTTTAACCTGGATTTGAACATTGACAGAGTAGACGCCTCCCTCACATTTTCAGGGAGATTGTTCCAGATCTTAGCTGCATGGATCTGAAACGCAGCCTCCCCATGTTTGGTTCTCACTCTGGGCACCAGCAGGAGGCCAGTCCCTGTGCTCCTCAGAGTCCGAGCCGGTTCATATGACACCAACATGTCACTAATGTATTTTGGTGCAAGGCCATGGAGAGACTTGTACACAAGCAGAGCTGTTTTAAAATCTATTCTCTGAGCCACAGGAAGCCAGTGCAGGGACCTGAGGACCGGACTAATATGGTCATACTTCCTGGTTCCTGTCAGGACTCTAGCTGCTGCATTTTGGATGTACTGCAGCTGCTTACAGGTCTGTTTGGACAGACCTGTAAGCAGGCCATTGCAGTAGTCTAGCCTGCTGGAGACAAATGCATGGACAAGAATCTCCAAGTCTGCCCTGGACACTATATTTCTAACTTTGGCAATGTTCTTCAGATGGTAAAAAGCTGTTGAGGTTATTGATTTTATGTGGCTATTGAAATTTAGGTCTGAGTCCAGTATTACCCCCAAATTTCTGACCTTGTCTGAAGGAAGTAGGGAGAGAGACTGAAGTTGACAAATGACGCCCTCTCTTTGTTTCTGGGGACCAAAGACAATGATTTCGGTTTTGTCTGCATTTAGCTGGAGGAAATTATTTTGCATCCAGTCACTGATCTGTTGGATACAGTGAAGGAGCAAATCCAGTGGTCCATGTTCTCCTGCAGTCAGTGAGACATAGATCTGAGTGTCGTCAGCGTAATTGTGGTAGGACACTTTGTTTCTTTGTATTAACTGACCTAACGGCAGCATGTAGAGATTAAATAGGAGAGGTCCCAGGATCGACCCCTGTGGTACTCCACAGGTCAGGGCCACACGATCTGAGACGCAGTCTCCAATCTCCACAAAGTACTTCCTATCCTCCAGGTAAGACCTAAACCAGTCTAGGGCTGTGCCAGTGACACCAACCCAGTCCTCCAGTCTCTGCATGAGGATCTCATGGTCGACAGTGTCGAACGCGGCACTAAGATCTAACATGACCAAAACTGTGACTTTACCTGCATCAGTGTGAAGTCGAATGTCGTTTGTTACCTTCACTAGAGCGGTCTCAGTGCTGTGGTGGGGTCTAAACCCAGATTGGAACATATCAAAAGAATTATTCATTGTTAAAAATTCAGTAAGTTGTTGGGAGGCCACTTTTTCAAGAATTTTTCCAATGAATGGCAGATTCGATATGGGGCGATAATTTTGAAGTCCCGCAGGATCCAGACTGCTCTTTTTTAGGAGAGGTCTTATGACTGCTGTTTTTAGGGCCATAGGAAATGTTCCTGACGACAGAGACATGTTTACTATTTGTGTCAGTGAAGGTAACAAACTGCTCAGGACGGACTTCAGAAATTTAGAGGGTAATATATCCAGGCTACATGTGGAGGAGCTCAGACTCATGATTATCTTTTTGACAGTTTCAGTATCCACAGGTGCAAAGTGAGTTAGCTCAAAAAGCTTCTCTGGCTGTTGCATTGTTATACGTGCTGTGGAGGTGATAGTGTTTTTGATTCCTTGTACTTTGTCATCGAAAAACTGTGCGAACTCATTACACCTAGATTTAGAGGAAAATTCTAGGGGCAACTTTACAGGGGGGTTCGTTAATCTACCAACTGTTGAAAACATAACACGAAGATTGTTACTGAAACCTCCAATAATGTCAGAAAAATACATTTCTCTTGTTCTACGTAGAACCCGGTTAAATTCACCCAACTCATCTTTAAGGATTTCATAATCGCCCTGGAAATTGGACTTTCGCCACTTCCGTTCGGCCCTCCGGCACTCTTGCTTCTGTGCCCTGACCGAGTCTGCCTTAGTCCATGGGGCCTTTTTCTTACTGGTAACTATTTTAACCGTCACAGGAGCAATGGCGTCCAGAACAGTCAGAACACTGGTGGTGACAGAGTTATACAATTCATCAACAGTAGAGCATGGAGTTTTCTCAAAATTTAGCATTCCCATGAACAGTTCACTTGTGTTTTCATGTATGTGTCTTCTTCTAACAATTGTAGATTCAGCTGGTGGTTTGCTAGCAAAACACATGTCAAAAAATACACAGAAATGATCTGACAAAGCAACATCAACTACATTAACATTTGATACATTAACCCCCTTTTTAATTAGCAGGTCAAGAGTGTGCCCTCTGCTGTGGGTGGGGCCACTCACGTGCTGAATGAAACCAAAGGTCTCAAATACAGAAGCCAGCTCCTTTGCATTTCTGTCATCAACATTATCAACATGTACATTAAAATCACCTGTAATAACTAAACTATCAAAATCTGTGCACACGAATGAAAGTAGTTCAGTAAAATGGTCAATAAAATCGCAACATGACTGTGGTGGCCTGTACAGGACAATGAAAAGAGTAGAAGATTGCTTTTGTTCCATTTTAAAAGAAATATACTCAAACGATGAAAAATTTCCAA